GCTGCTGACTGCGGGTGATGACTTCTGCATCAAGCGATGGGACATCCGGAGGCCAAATGATCTTCCAACGGCTAGATACATGGGTCACACTTCCTGTGTGAGGAGCCTTGCCGTGTCCCCTGATCGGCAGCTCTTTGCTTCAGGCACTTCCGACAGCAGTGTTCGGTTGTGGACACTTGACCCTTCGGGTGCAAGGGCATCCTTGTCCGGCACCGAAGATGGCACCAGGATTACGGATCTCCTAACCGACCTGAAAGCGCGACGAGACATGGCTGTTGAGCTCGTGCATGCAGGTGAGGGAGATCTCGAGGAAGTACGTGAACTGACACAGGAGATCGAGCATTTGGAAAACAGTGTGGTTGGAAACCAAGGCAGCGATGAGGAGATCATCGATGTTCATGGAAACATCCGCGCAGTCCTCGGCCTCCCTGGACACTCTTTGACTGTTGGTACACTGGCGTGGCAAACGGCAGGACCTGGGCAACACCGCCTGATATCTGGTGCTCAGGATGAGTTTGTTCACCTCTTTGAATTCTCAAACAACCATGTTGTGTCAGGCTTAGCAGACATGACCCGTCAGTGTTCAGCACATTGAGCGTTTAAACTTGCAAGCCGGAACCTACACAGAATCTGGTTTTGTGGGCGCTTGCTCGCTTCGCTGCCTGCCGCCTTGCCAGTCCCAGCTGCACAAAGCAGCTGCAAGCGTGGTGCTACCAAGTTCTGTACAGCCTTGCTGTTCAGATGTTCCGTTGTACCATAGCTGTTTACAGTTCTTGTCCACTGCAACAAACCCAGACAATGCAGCGCAAAAAAACGTTTTTACATTATCAGCCGCTTGACTCGGCCAGTCCCCGGATCGGCTGCTGCTGAATGACCTGAGCAGTTTTTTTTTTTTGAGGGGGGGGCGGCCAGAGAGCGGGGTATTGGTGGTGATGGTGGCCTTGATGACCACTTCACTGTGATGAAGTGACTGAAGATGATGCAGGGCATGCTGCATCAAGCAAGCCATGACCACAAGAGTGAGATTGTGGATACTCACCGTCGCACTTATTCTCGCTTTGTCCTCATAGTTCCCTTCATATCGCGGAAGGCGAAGGCAAGCACGAATGCACCAACGGGGAGAAGCGCAAGCCACTTTTGCACAACCTCGATGAGTTGCCTAGTCTGACGTTAGCGTGAGATAAATTTACAGTTGCATCATTTCTCATGGTTCGGTTTCCACACATTTTGCAGAGCAGGGTTGCCTTACGTTGCCTTTGAATTCCTGTCAGCGGCATATGCCACGCAGAGTGGTACTTAACTACTGTCCGGAGATCAGAATGTGTTGTGGGTCTGCTTTTCCTTATGTTGTCAGGCCTTAGACATGAGTTACGTGCTCTTCGCTTGTGACTCGTTCGATTTCTTCCGGCGGAAACCGAAAGAATCTGTGAATTTTGCCCAGGTGGGCTCCGGGGCGATGCCGAGACGCGGCCTCCATCGATTGTCGGATTCTTGATCATCGATGTTTGGTGAACGCACGCCACAACAGCTCTTCCAAGATGCTACGCCGAACAATCCGTGAATGGTTTCCCGATCCTCATCGGAAACCCCAGCTGCACATGTGGGATCGCACCAAGGGCGACGACCGGGTGCGGGCAGATCGTGGCGCAAGCACGAGAGGCAGGGACTCGACAGAGCAATTGAAAGCTATCTTGAAATGAGATCTTGGGGTCTTATGTGCAAAATGCAAGGTCAAAGCATGTCAAAGCCTTTTTGAAACCGGCCGATGTAGATCATATCTTTTGGGTCACGGCTCCGATTCCGTCTGTCCTCCGTTAAGACACGATCGTGATGATTGCTGGTCTGGTTTTTGACTCTCTGCGCTGATAATATTTAATATTAGTGTACGCAGCTGAATTTTCACAGCCGCCGTTAGAGTGTACCTTTGAAGCCCCGGCGTCCCGGCAGGTGGTTTCGCTCAGACCGTACGAGCAGACAGGCAGAGCTGCCCGCAACTAGGTAAGTGAGAGTGAGGGACGGAGGAGCCTGAGAGAGAGAGAGAGAGAGAGAGCGAGAGAGTAGAGGAGCTGGGAGGGCACTTGCGGGTCGCACCCGAGCCTTAAGAGAAGAAGAGGAGCGGGGGGCGCACAATGCGACGGGAGGGGTCGCTGCCCTTCCCGCAGCCGCGGCGAAAGAGAGAGCGAGAGAGATGACTGGACAGAGCGGGGAAGGGGGACTGCCCCTTCTTCACGCCCCGGAGCAAAGCAAAGCAAAGAGAAGTCATCTGAGACACATTTGGGGCATCGCTCAACCCCCGTAAGGGGCCTTGAAGACCGACAGTCGCGAACGTTGTGGGGGCAGGTTTTCGAGCCAGGGTTCTCTAGGGAACCCATACCCCTCAGCAAGCAAGCAAGTAATCTGAGAAGTCCATGTCTGGACCAGTCATTAGAAAGTCCACTAGGGAAGTTGCAAAGCTTCGGGGCTACGGGCTGATATGTCGCAATCGCGCAGAGTGGCAAGATGTCTTGCAAACCACACAGTCTGAAATGATGTTAGCATTCCTGCAGACGGAGTCTGTGTGCTCCCGGCCCTGGCAACTTGAACTGGCGAAGGCGGTTCATGGATATGCCTGCGGAGGACACCTTCCGCAGCAGCCCCAGCATGGGTGAAGCTCTCGGGACATGGCTTGTGACCTGCATCGTTCTGCCAATTGCCATAGCCCGAAATTTGGCAATGCTCTCACGCGAAGTTGCAAACAGGTGGCACATCGCGGGCTGCGAACTCAGGGGATGCACGGCCTCTGAGTTTCTTGCGACTTGCGGGATTCTTATTATTGAACTATCGTGGACTGTCTAGACTTGGCCTGGCAAAAAGGGTGCCGTGTTGATCGTTCAGGGTGCCGTGGGCTGCATCTTCGGATAGGGGTGGCCCTCAATCACACAAAAACGCGGCATGAGGTACGTGGCCCGACTGAAGCCAGGGCAGCTAGAGATCGCTGCTCGGCTGAAGCAATGGAAGCCGGTTCCGTTGAAAGGTCGGCCAAGCCTCGTCTGTGCCATCGCATGGTAGTTGCGCCAGTATTTCTGCCTTGCACGCGGTTGCCATCATCGGGTCGCAGCTGCGCTTGTGGCTTCTCCGTGTTCCAAAAGAAAACTCGCGCTCGGGTCATAAGGTTAAATTTTAGAGCTCATGCTGCCCGCTCTTTTTCAATTGACTTCGTTCTCGCCTGCAGCCCTGCAAACTCTCAACAGCATCTCTGTTTCCCGAGTTGTCTTGGGCAGAGGCTGATGGATACACGTTTTCGAACAGATTCAAGAAATCACCGCACAAGCTCAAGCAGTGAATTTGCAGCAATGCTTCCTTCACTAAAGTCGCTCAGACACAAGCCATCGCGCGACTCGCCAAGCCGTGAAGGAGTCGGAAGTTTTGTTTTGATGCCTCTCTTGGCCTCAAGCCAAATTTACCCATCCAACCTTGCTGAAATCAGGCTGACTTCACTGTTGTTCTAGTTCTCTCCGCGACTTGCAAATTGGAGGCCCATCCACCTCCACGTCAAGCCCGCGGAGCGGAGGGGATCACGATGAGCTGCCACGGGGAGCTCCTCGAACCAGATGGCAAAGCTTTAGTTGCAGGGTTTACACAACAAGATGTATCTAAGAGGATCGAGGGTTGGACTATTTCTGTGCGCCCCCATGTGACGTGAAGTTGGAGCCGGGAGAAGACACTCTGGTGGGGTGGAACGTTGGCCCGAATGAACAACAAGCCCGACTTGCACCAAAGCCCGATGCCACTCCGTCATGCCGACAGCACCTAGACATTCCTGTGGGCCGAGGCACAGAGTGCTGACTTCAGGCCTTTGCAATCTTGGTTTGTGGGGATCTCGTTTCTCCTCCGACACGAGTTAGTTACATCGCGTCAGCACTCGTGTTCAATCTCCGCTGCCATCTGATACGTACGAGCTGAACTCTGAATAAGTCCCTGACACTGGCCGGCGGAACCATGAGATGTTACGCAGTTCGAGCCATTCAGGTAGGTCAAGCATGACTCCGTTTTAGTTTTGTTGGTGCAATCCTGTTCTGTCTGGGGCGCGGCTATCACGACAGGACTCTTCAGAGCATGATCGCGCAGGGCATCGTCGAGTCCTGCGTCTCAGGGAGGGGCTACAATGGCTATACTTGAGGCATGAGCGAGTGGCAGCCACAACTCGTCGGTATCAGACACCAGACTTTGTCGTCATTCATGTTGCTCGACTTTTCCAGCCTTGATGCTGTTTTGTTCTTCGTTCTTCGTGCTATCTCACTATGCGGTACGACGCTACGACATCGAGGAACTTTAAGGCTTTAAGGCTGCCTTTAACAAATTTAGAGTCCAATAGAAAATAGTTTCAAAGATGATTAGGGGTTTGCCAAACCAGGCAGCAGTCATGGCGTGGCAAGACGCTCCCTTGAGATCTGCTCAGAAGAGATAATGTACTTCTCTTTAGCACAAGTGATCGAGTTGTCAGTAGCAATACGCATAGGGTGTTGCCGTGCGAGGAGTACGATTGGATAATTCAGATTCAGACGCAAGTGCCGTGTCACTTACTCTGTTCCGGCACTGAGTATCTGCGTTCTTTTCAGCTGCTTTTAAATGAACGTTTTCTTCTCTCTCTCTTTCTCTCTTCCCTCTCTCGGCTATCTCTCTCTCTCTCTCTCTTTGTCTCTGTCTGTCCCCGTTGCATGGAAGAAGCACGATGGCAGCATTTCGGTTCTGTTCACACAACCGATGAGCTTTCCCAACTGCACTGTCCCGGCCACATTTGCGGAGGCTGGCGATTTTGACGTCCTAACTGTTAGAGATAATAGAGAAGGCGTCGAGTTTGGCAGCACGTCATCGTAGACGACTCGGATCGGATAACCATGCGTAAGGGTACTCATCTGCTTTGCAGCAGGCAGGCCCCATGAGCTTCGAATGGGATCCTGGGTCCAGGAACTGGGGTCTCTCAGCCGACTCCTGCGCAATCCGCCAGGCCTGCAGAGCCCATGTTCTTGTTTGGGAGCAGCGGCTCGTCGGGGTGCTGGGCTCAGATGCTGGGTGCCGGGATTCCACGTGTCGGAGCTTCCTGTGGGGTCAATTGCCCGCGCCACTGCAAGGCAAAGCGAAGCTGGCGTTGCCGAGGACCGCGCCGCTCCTGGACGTGGAAACTAAGTTTGAAGCAAGACTGGCTTTCAGGCTTTCTGCCGTGAGCAAGGATCACCGGAGAAGATGCTTGAAAGCACAACCTACTTGTACCCCTCCTAGCGCGAGCAGGACTTGCAGCAGGAGATCCTGGACAGAGATGAAGAGATTGCTGAGCTGAAGGCAAGTGCAGCAACAGCAATTTCGCACCGCCTGTGGCCACGACAGGATATTCAGGTGCGTGTAACTGCACATGGCCTTCTTCAGATCCACGTGTAACAGTGTAACAGTTGTGCTCGGGTTCAAAACACTTCCGTCAGTCCTAGTGGTGCATAGAGCGGAAAGGGGTGCTCCCAAGCTAAGTAACTAAGGCCTCCACCGAAAGCGGTTGGTTCTCTCGGATGTGAATGCGCCTAGGTGACGAACTCGAGTCTGAAAATGAAGCGGTTTTCGACTCTGCCCGCTAGCAAGTTGAACCTTCGAACATGGGACAGTCGGAGCATCTTTGGCACAGAGATCCTCCTTAGCTCAAGCCCGCTGTAAGAGGCCAAGATCGAAGCGTATCGTGATGCCCTGGAGTCGCTTGGCCCAGTATCTGCACAGATTGCAGCAAGACAGTCGGATTCCAGGCCTCGTTTAGGACCCTGCCATGCAGAGTCTGACCTTCTATTTGATACTGCTATTATTATTACTACTACTATTTCTATTATTACTATTACTCTTAGTATTGCTATTGGACTATGGTTCTTACATATTTTTACTATGATGATTATTATTATTACTACCACTATTCTCACTTTTCGACCATGAAACCCAGGAAAGAACCTCACTTCGAGCACTTTGAGATGGCCATGGAAGAGAAGAACAAGGTCCGGAAGCCCCGTGCAGTATCGTCGGCATGCGCACTTTCACCACTCAAGAACAGTCTGTCGTTGCACTGCTTCGATGACTCGGATGGCAGGTGCTGGAGGAGCAGTTTCTGAAAGTTCAGGAGCCCGGAGACGAGATCGGTTGCAGTGTGCACCCGTCTTTTGCAGAGAGTAAAACCTGTGGAAAGAGGAGCTCACGAAGGAGAACCAGTCCCTCTTGGAAAGATTGCAGCTACCTGAGTTTGTTCCCGGCTTTTTGCACTCATTTTGAGGCTCTCGGTGGATAGTGTCTTTAGCTTTTGACACGTGCGGTGGTCCGGCGTCGAATGTAGCATGAGCCGGGCGGATGAAGAAGGTCGTGGAAAGGTTTAAGTTGCGGCTTCGTTCGCGTAAGCGCAGGTAGGAGGCCGGCCTGCTCTGGTTGAGTTTTGGTGTTCAGCCGGACGGAATCATGCAGTAAGCCTAAACCGCAGTTGCATGGTAAACTTTAGGAAACGAGGTCCTGATTGCGTTTTGCAGCATGCTGGATCCCAAGTAAGAGCTCCTGAGTATGCCGGGGGGCAGCAAAGATCCACCCCAGAATGTCAAGGCAGAATGCTGGGCCAGCGGGCGCCCACGAGGCTGGGAGCTCGCAAAGGTGGAAAGAAGCGGTTGCATGATGTGCGTAGTCAGCACTACGAAGTGTTTGGGCAGACGTGGATGTCAGGGCCGGTCCGTTTGCTGGCACTAGGTGTTGACGTGTCGGCAGGGCCCAGAAAGTGGAAGCCCTGAGATGGAGGAGCAGCGACAGGCTGGGCCTCTCCTCTTGTGACCGACAGATTGAGGTCGATACCCCACTGTCACAGCCGCATGCCGCGAATCCCGAAGGTTGATCAGTAGCTTTCAAAAGGAAGATGGACGTGTTGCCTTAGGCCTTCTGGCTCCTGATAGCCGTCCGGTCACTACTACTGCCCGCCAACCTATTTCGTTCACGAACTTTGCGGTCAGCTAGCAGTTGTGACGAATGCAGGATCAAAAGACGAATGGCAACCGCCCATTGGAGGATCTTGTGGCAGTTGAATGCGGGAGAGTTCGAGACCGGAAGAAACGACCTGCCTACCACACCTTAATCCGCACATGTTTGATGCTGGCATGGTTGTGGACTTTTCAGATCTCCGGAAGCCTTTGAAGTAGCTCTTCTCTGCAATTTCGGAAGGACGAGCTGTCTAGAGCCCCCCGGCAGCAGAAGTGTTTATGCGAAAGTTTGGCAATTTGATGAGATTGTGGGGGTTCAATGCTGCACACAGCTATGCTGGAGTGCATGGCGGCATGCAGTCTGTGGAAGGTGTGCGACAGCCAGGTCAGCTTTTTGATTTCTCCATCGGTCCACCAGCTCGTTGAAGGTCGCGGGATGGCGTGTAGCTTGCCTTTTCGACGGGTTTGGAATCCAGGTGAAGGCAGAGCTGGAATCGGTGAAGGCAGAGCTTGAATCAAGACCGCTACCGAAACTTGGAAGTGATTCAGCTTGCATCGCCGGTAAGCCTTTATCGCATGAGTGTATGTAGCCATGGTGAAGGCCCCTGTGCCGAAGCAGAGATTGGGTCACAACAAGCGAAGGATTGTGTCGTGAAGACTCTAAGTCTAAGTTCCGCCGCGCTCCGGTCCAGCCACAACTGCTACTGAGCCGCTACTGCTGACAAGGCACACGCAGCCATCTGGCGACATTCAGGACTGGTTACGAGCAGACTCTTTGAGTCAAGTGTTCATGTCATTTCACGTTGAATCCTCTAAATCATGCCCAGCTCTGTGCACGGAGGTTTAGGTGCGAGGAGAATGTGGAAGTACCCAGGCAGAAGGCTTCGTGAAGCCTTGGAGATTCCATTCATTCGCTTCTCTGCTGCCGTCGGCTCGGAACGTTGGTCACGGGCCAGCCGGGTTGAGGGCTGAAAAAGCTTTCTAAAGTCCCACAGTCCCACGCTTTGTGCAATGCTCCCTGTGACGTGGATGCTTGAACTGGCCTTCTCCTGCGATTTGACATCTGCATTTGCAGAGAAGGAGAGTGTAGATGAAGTGGCTTGGCATCTGTAGAAATCTGCTTTCGATGACTGGATGAATGTTGCTGAGTGCGAGAGGTCATGTAAAATGCTTCGCGAAGCATGCTGAGCTCGAGAGACGGCCGCTTAGAACATGTATAACATGTGAGGTGGGCGCAGAGGATACTGAATGCTGCTGCCAACAGATGCTGGTGTCGCTTTCAGATGAGGCGGGGGGACAAAGCTTAGTTGGATCGACTTCATGTTGGTATCCCAATGCCAAGCAATCACCCGAGGATCTGGTGTCCATGGATTCGCCCTCCTTCCCAAGTGTTGAAACGTATAGCTCCAAAGACACTCAAGACAGTCGGCGTCGTGCTCGCCCCCGTCGCAATCACAAAATTGACCAAGTGATTGCGCACCTCCGCACCAAACGGGTCCATGCACGTGCAGAGCTTCTTGAGTTCTTGGCCATGAACGGCTTCAACGTGCGGGATGTCAACTGCAAGAAGCGCACTCGTTGGGGGCTTGGTTATACCTATCCGCTGCATATGGCAGCCGCACAGGACCGGCCCCGCATTGTAAGCCTGTTGCTACAATGTGGAGCAGATGCTACGGCGAAGGATTCTAGCGGCCGCAAGGCAGAGGAGTTTCTCGGCCCCGCTTTTCTGTAAACTTCTTTTTGTTTTGGTACATTTTGACATCTGGCTCTGGGGTTTTGTCGAGTCCGGAAGTTCTTGCTACTCTTGATGTCGGTCGACACGCTCACCTTGATAGTACAAGCTACGGATGGACAGGGCTTCATTGTCTTTCTTCCCCTTACCCACATCAGGCACCCCTCGCAGACTTCTGCAGGGGTGGAATGTTGAACTTTCATTTTTCAGGGATTTGCAGGCTTTGACCGGGTGGGATGCTACTGCTGCGTGCAATCTGAGGATAGCCATCAGCGAGTCCGTCCGCGCAAGCTTTTCATGGCGCACACATACTCGAAGAGTACTTTGGAAACTGTGAGGCCAGGAAGCTGATCCCTTTGGCTCTGTCCTTTGTGCGTTTGCTTGTCTGTATATACCCCCAGGCCAGTAGCGAAGAGTACAAATGCTATCAGCGGAGACGTTCTCCTCTCCCTTCTGCCCTCTCCCCTCCCCTCCCGTCCCTCCCTCCCTGCCGCTTGATGCCACACAGCGGAAAGGACCAAGATGCTTTGGGACACTTGACAGGCACAGAGTCATCTCAGTGACCATCAGTTCCTTGTTTTATCACAAAGCTCAACTATGGCCTTCTTGCACAAATCCTTGAATTCTGGCATGGATTGCTTAGAGTTGAGAGTATCATGTTGTTGGCAAGGGCATGCCTTCGGGGTTGACAGGCAGACAAGTGTTGCAAAGACTACTCGGGTCAGCTTTGCAGAGCCCCGACTAGCGAATTGAGTGATATTTGCTTACGACAAGAAAACTGATCAATGTTAAGAGTCGCAGCCCAAAGCTTCTAGACCGGTGTCGTTGTCCATACCTGCACCATGTCCGTTTTAGAGCAGACTTCCAACGGACTTCGCGTGCTACTTGGCTTGAGTGTCCTTGCCGACCAGTCGTTCCCCACCCATCCTTGTGCAGCGGAAGAGCAAGACTGTCGGCAAGACATACTCATGTCGGATCGACTTTCTTGTTACGATTGTGTGCGCAGCGAATCACTCCTACGATGTCGAAGTCTGGATGCTGTGGGTGGGGCCCTCCTGAATTGCAAACACTGCGATTCTTGAGCCGAGGATTGGTTTTGGCCTTCACAGCTGAAGCTTCCCAGGCCCGCCTGGTTAACAAATGGGCCGTGTTCCTATCAGAATCAGAATGACCTGGAGCAGAGATGCGCCTTCGCCGTCACAGGCTAAAAGGCTTTTTGCTCCAGAGCTTTCTCTTGTTTCCTGGCCGTTTTGATCTACAGATCTACATGGATGCGCATTGAAGCGCTTATCAAGCCCAGACCGGCCGGGCTGAGCCTGCACAAGCCGCGAATCATCTTGATGGTTGTAGTGCCTTGCACATGGCTGACGTCGAGTCTAAATATAAATATAAATACCAATACACAGTACGTAGACGTAGGTAGGGTAGAGGGGTCGCTTAGCCAACTTTTTTTCGGGTCGCTTAGCACGCTCCAGTTTTGGTCGCTTGGCACGCTCATTTTCACAGGTGTTGGAAGCCCAACAAAGAACCCTAAAAGGAAACCCTAAACCCTAAACCTTAAACCCTCAAAGGAAACCCAAAACGCTAAACCCTAAACCCTGAACCCTAAACCCTAAACCCTGAAAAGAAACCCTAAACCCAAAACCCCCTGAACCCTACACCCAAAACCCTAAACCCTAATAGGAAACCCTAAACCCTAAACCCTGGACCCTAAACCCTAGACCCTAAAAGGAAACCCTAAACCCTGAACCCTAAACCTTAAACCCTGAAAGGAAACCCTAAGCCCTAAACCCTCAACCCTAAACCCTAAAAGGAAAGCATAAACCCGAAACCCTGAACCCGAAACCCTAAACCCTAAATCCTAAAACCCTAAACCCTAAACCCTACACCCTAAACCCTAAACCCTAAAAGGAAACCCTAAACCCTAAGCCCTCAACCCTAAACCCTGAAGCCTAAACCCTAAAAGGAAACCCCACACCCTTAACCCTAAACCGTAAACCCTAAACCCTAAAAGGAAACAGGTTCCCTAAAAGGAAACCCTGAACCTTAAACCCTAAACCTTAAACCCTGAAAGGAAACCCTAAACCCTAAAAGAAACCCTAAACCCTAAACCTTAAACCCTGAAAGGAAACCCTAAACCCTAAACCCTAAAAGGAAACCCTAAACCCTAAGCCCTCAACCCTAAACCGTGAAGCCTAAACCCTAAAAGGAAACCCCACACCCTTAACCCTAAACCGTAAACCCTAAACGCTAAAAGGAAACGGGTTCTAAACCCTATAGACCCTAAAAGGAAACCCTAAACCCTAAACCCTAAAAGGAAACCCTAAACCCTAAGCCCTCAACCCTAAACCGTGAAGCCTAAACCCTAAAAGGAAACCCCACACCCTAAACCGTAAACCCTAAACCCTAAAAGGAAACGGGTTCTAAACCCTAAACCGTAAAAGGAAACCCTAAACCCTAAGCCCTCAACCCTAAACCCTAAACCCTAAAAGGAAACCCTAAACCCTAAGCCCTCAACCCTAAAAGGAAGCGGGTTTCCCTAAAAGGAAACCCAAAACCCTAAACCTTAAACCCTGAAAGGAAACCCTAAACCCTAAAAGGAAACCCTAAACCCTAAACCTTAAACCCTGAAAGGAAACCCAAAACCCTAAACCCTGAACCCTAAACCCTAAACCCTGAAAAGGAACCCTAAACCCAAAACCCCCTGAACCCTACACCCTAAACCCTAAACCCTAAAAGGAAACCCTAAACCCTGGACCCTAAACCCTAGACCCTAAAAGGAAACCCTAAACCCTGAACCCTAAACCTTAAACCCTGAAAGGAAACCCTAAACCCTAAACCCTCAACCCTAAACCCTAAAAGGAAAGCATGAACCCGAAACCCTGAACCCGAAACCCTAAACCCTAAAACCTAAAACCCTAAACCCTAAGCCCTAGGGTTGGCTAAGTGACCGCACGGGGTTTGCTAAGTGACCTGAAACATGATACGGTTTCCGATTGGCCAAGTGACCGTGTTCGGGGTTGGCTAAGTGACCCTGGCTCCGCCCCTAGGTAGTAGCAGTAGCAGTAGTAGTACGAGTAGCAGCAGTAGCAGTAGTAGTAGGAGCAGCAGCAGTAGTAGCAGCAGCAGAAGCAGTAGGAGGAGTAGTAGTAGTAGCAGAAGTAGTAGTAGCAGCAGCAGTAGTAGTAGTAGCAGTAGTAATACTGGTTGTAGTAGTAATAGTAGCAGTACTACTACTACTATTACTACTACTACTACTACTACTACTACTACTACTACTACTACTACTACTACGACTACTACTACGACCGCCGCCGATACTGGCCTTGATGCAGCGACAACAGACAGACTGAGCGGAGAGGCGGGTCTTGCCTGGTCTTGCCTGGGCGGCAGTAGATCTTCCCCTTATTTTGTTGCGACAGAAGTGCGAAGCAGCATGCATGGGCCATGTTCAGCTTTTGCACGGAGTCGCCTTGCAGAACTCTGCCTCAGTCCTGGGCATGTTCAGTGCCCGCCATACTTGTCAGTGATCCTTGGCGAAACAAATGATTACTTACGATGTTTGCCTGGGTCAAGAATTCACAGGTCCAGCCAAGGTACCACTGACCGGAGACAGTTTGGACCCTCCCGGCAATGGGAGCGCTGTTGACTGTGGTTTCTATCTCAATTTGAAGGCACCATGCTAGACAGGGATGCTGCTTCTTGCAGCAAGGCACCACCCCCATAGCAATGTTGACCCTGTACAAACCCTAGAAACCGTAACACGACCCTGCATTGCAGTTGCACGGGCCTAGACCTCGCCAGGCGGGAGGCAAGAACAGGCACTTGTTCAGTTCGGTGGCAGCCCGTCCATTCCTGCCAGCATGTTGCGAGAGAATCGGGCTCCAGCATCAACTGGCAGTACTGCCGAGACGCTGTCCCAAGGCCCAGCGGGCTTGGCCCGAAAAGGCCGTCGCTCACTGGGAGCTATACAGTCATCTTGGAAGCTTGTGCGGCGAATTGTGCCGCGAGCGCCGTTTCGTTGATTGGATGCTGTCCCACTTGGGAGTGCTTGTGCTTGGCACAGTCTATGCCTATGCAGGATGCCATGAGTTCAGTTAGCAAGCCATCATCATCTTCTGGGGGCAGAAGTGGGACATCGCCGCGATTGGCTATCCCCAAGAGTTCGTGAGTTAGCCACGGGCCGAATTTAGGGTTTAGTGTGCGACTGCAGCTGATGTGGTGCCCGACTCCAGGCAGAGTGCGAAGCCTGTTGCAAAGGGTCCGAATGCAAGATTATTGTTTTGTGTGGAGTCCAGATCGGTTTTGAAAAGGCATTCGGCATAGGGGTTGGAGTACGAACATGGTTCCTAGCAGGATTGGAATAGATTTGAATCTGTCGGAGAATAGGGTTGGATTATGTTGAACAAACCGGCCCATAATAGGGTTAGACATAGGGTAGACAATACGATTTGCGAATACCGGTTGAAATTGGGGTCGGAATCGGAATATGTACACGCCTATGGTTGGGGGGCTCTATTCTAACCCCTGCTCTATTCCGACCCCACTCCGCCTGGAAATAGGGATGGGAAAAGAGGTCGGAACAGTTCCTATTCCTAGACCTACTCACCGCGTCAAAAACCCTTTAATCTACCCGGCACTAATCAAAGCCCTATCCAGAACCGCATCTGGACCCAATCCCAAACTAAGTCTATTTAACACCCTGAACCCTATCGCGGCCGCGCCTGCCTAACGCTGCCCGTATCTGCAAACTAGTCGCTATTCAAACCTCAAACCTGAGGCCAGAGTGCCCTCCCAGCAATAAACGAACTCTTGGTGCTATGCCGATTTAAAGGCACGAACACTGTGCCAACCTCCATCAATGACAGTGATCGGATGGGAAGCTTGCTTGAAGGATGGTTTTGTTGTGGGTTGCTTGTATCAGCTACTTCGAAAAACATATGCCGTCGTCCAAAGCGTTGGCGGTTTCGATTGCCACAGGAAAACATGCAAGCGGCCATCAGAACACTGCGTTTGAGGATTGACTTGCAGCTGCACTGCAACTCCTTGAGTCTTGCAAACCTGAAATCGCATTGACATGGTGTACTTTCGCAGTGAGAGCGTCTGGAGTCTACAGTAGGTGCGGCTCAAGCAGTGCTTGTGACAGCTGGCCCTGAATGTGTGAAGTCGGATTGTCCGTCACTGTTTCAAGGAAGACAAGATTGAGCCCAAAGGCGGAGCTTGGTGTCTGGAGCACCCCTGCTCAGACAAAGGTGGATGTTATGGAGTGCTTTGCCGCAGCTCCTCTAGGCCAATATAATGATTAATTCGTGCGTGGATAGAGCCAGCGGTGCGCATGGGAAGGAAGCCTCAGGAAACCAGGCAACTGAACGAACGAGGAGTGTTCTTTCGATTTGTGGCAGCAGGCACCGACAACGGTTCCATGATTGGTTCCAAAGACCAGCAATCCGAGAATATGAACATCCAACAGCAGGAGACCGCGCAGCCACAGACAAGCAGCCAAGAAAGGGAGGTAGGGTCAGGGCAGGGTTTGGAACTAGGGGAGTGAAGCCATGATTCATTACGGCGACGGCTTTGGGTGTAGCCAAACACAGCTCCTCTGCTTAAAGCTGCAGTTTCGTAATCCTTCCGGCGCTTCGGGTTTGCGCGGAGATGCGTCGCATGCTACCTCAACTTCCTCTAGTTACCATGTGGGGGGCCTCGGCGGCCAATACTCCTCTAAGACTCTTGGGATTTGGCTGGTCCGGCCCGTGCCCGGTGAAACCAACTTGAGGAACGTACAGGAAGGTGCGGGGCAAGGTCATTTCAGCAAGGCAAGCTCAGGTGGGGAAAGTCACTCGAGTTAGCTTGCGATATCGTGCGATTTTCCTCTGTAGTTACGAACGAGCGAGGAACTCGACGCCGTGGCTCTTCATCCACGCTTAGCTTGCACGGGTGTCAAATGTGTCAAGAGTTTGGCAGGTGACGATGCCTGCGGCAGGTGGCATACCATGCAACAAGCTCGAGTGCCACACTGGTAGTACGAGGCACATCATGCTAGCATAGAGAACTCGAGAACGATAGTGAAAGAGTCATTCATGAGTTTGATGAGCCAGGCATGGGAATTGGTTACATCGCTGCCGGCCGTAGAAGAACGTCGTCTCTTTCAATGAGTTTAAACTCTGTGAGACCCCTGGCCGAGATGTGAGAACAGTTTCGTCGGGCAGCACACGCGTCCGATTTGCGCCGCATCCGGCCGGGGGCCTGAAGTCGAAGTGAGCCTGGGCCTAGTTGCAAAACGGGTGCCTCACGTGCAGCAGTGGGCGATTCATGCAGCAGCCGCCCCTGGCAACCCGAGCTTGCGGTGTGCAGGAGGATGGCCGCCTCGGGGAAGCCCAGGAACGCCTCAGGTCTCTGGAGGACGGGGGGGGTGTTCATTGAGAATGATTTCCTATCATTCCATTGCGGTTGATTAGAAGGCCTTTGCTACCCGTTCTGCCTATTCTGTTCTCAAAAACGCCAAGTCAGCTTCCGCAGCCGGAAGCTGCTGATCCTGATTAGTCTCTTCACTGGCTCCATTGCCGCAAGCAGAGCATCAACCAAGGAAGTTCGTGACAAGATTGATCGGGCAAGTTCTGTAGGAAGCTTCATCGGGAAGATATGTCTGTCGCGATCCACATTGCGGCTCTACCACATCACGGAATGCATCTTCTGAATGGGATGTCGCAAAGTTTCAAAGGCGCAGTGCATGAACGAAGCACAGGAGCAGCTGCTGGCAGCGGAGGTGGCCAAGCATCTTGTCAGCATCGGCAGAAGCCAGCGACAAAGAGGAGCCTGAAGCATTGATGCTTAGGAATCAATTCGTAAGTTTCGTAAGTCCCCTTGTACACCCGAAAGCCCGGCTTGTCGATCCTGAACCCTCCCCTGTCAATGACCGGAACGAGAATGCCGGCAGCCAGTTGGACGGGAGCATTCCGCTGGCTCATTGTCATTGTGCTGGTGAGATGCCGGTCAAGTGTCTGCTGTCGTTGGAAGGATCGTTCAGGGTCATGGGTCGGACAATGGGTCGTGGTCATCAGCTGGCAAAGAGCAATCTCAACAGAGGAAACCTACCAGTATCGTCAGCCGATGTTGAAACCAGCGAGTTCTTCGGACCGAGCCAGCTCGCGTGGAGAAAGCCTTCCACTAGACGAGCGATCGCATGTCCTGATTCCTCAGCATGCAGGCGGCAGTCAGACGAAGCGCGCGCGGCGAGTATGACACAGCTGGCAGCGCTGGAGTCGGAGGCCTGCGGTAGTGGTAGCTTCGGCAAACGGGAGATGTAGCCCGAAAAAATGTACTGTTCCTGCAGCTATTGCTCGTTCTGTGTTGACTCTTCTTGTGCAGGCTTAGTGCTTCTGGTGTTCTGTTCGAGAGTGATTGAAATCGGCAGAGCTTAGATGCCAGGCCCATGTACTTGGTTAGTCTCAGACGGCTGGTGCTTTTTTTTGCCGAGCAGCTCAACTAAGAACGTCAATGCTGAAGCTGCCGCATGAGTTTGATGGCGAGGTGTTGTTGCGGTGTCATGCCGTGCCAGGGTCGGCATGGCTGGCTGCTGTCTGAAAACAAAGGCTTCAAGTTTCGAGCCAGTTGCCGGCTGAACTGTGACAGCTTTCTGCAAGTGCGAGTTTCATTGTTGAAGCTTCTTGCTGCAGGTGCCGGAGTTGCGTGGCAAACTAGCTGAGCTGGAGGCGGTCTGCGGCTTATGCTGCATGGCTGGCGATTGAGAGTCGAGACACAATGCATGCGAAGGCCATGCGAGCTTCCGCCCTCGAAGCAAAAGAAGAAGTTGAGCAGCTCCAGCTCGAGAAAGAGATGCTTCGGGAGGAATCTGCGGAGGCAATGCAAACGGTGCGCAGGATAATCCATGCTAGCTGTCTTTCTCATCTCCTGGAAAGCCTCGAGGTGCCGGCACTCAAGGCACAGATCGCAGATGTGGAGGTGCGGAACCTGCTGGTTGGATTATGTAGGATTGTTCTGTCTTTCTGCGGCGACATGCTGGGGAGCATGCTGACACGAACTGTTCATGCCGAGAGTGGTCTCGCAAGGCACAGCAAGCCGCCTTTCAAGATGCCGCCGCAGCATCTGCAGAGCTTCACCTGAAGCTGGAGAGGCTGCAGGATGAAGCTGGGCAGGCCGGTGAGATGCAGAAATATTTGCACAATTTGGGCGTGGGTATGGCAACTGTGATTAAGCATTCTAGAAGTGAGGCAGAGGCCCAACGTGTCGAAGGGAGGAGGTTTGACAACAGTGTGATGGATCTCCTCAGCTTGCAGAACCGAATGCATCTGCAGCTCCACCCGGCCTGGGTGTGTGCCGGAGCCTCTTTCAACTACGAGTCCCCCACCTCGAAAGGCTCCAGACGAAAATATTGAAGACACGGAGCACCAGACAACCCAACAGTATACTATTACTCCAGTTCGTTTCCCTGAGTCATCGAGTGCGCACCGTATGGTCAGGTACACGAGCTGAGGAGCAGGCTTGCAGAGCTCGAGGTAGGGAGATGCGAGTTTGGTCGGCGAGTCAAAAACGACTGTGCTTGGCACGCTGCGCAGTTTGATTGCAGGCGGAGCGCGAGTCCTCTCTCAAAGCACAAGCGGCGGCGGAGCAACTCCAGCAGGAAGTTCAGCGGCTGCAAGCGGAAGCGGCGGAGGCGCAGGCAAAACTGGGCCGAGGATATGCAGTATACTGAATGTTGTTTGCAAGCATCCCCACGGCTGGCGGCAAATTGAACTGGGGCCGCCAGATGGCAAGGCACAATGGGCAACTGCCGCCCAAGATGCTGCTGGTTCTGCGGAGCTGCAGCAGGAGGTGAACCGATTGAAGTCCGAGAGCGCGCAGGCTCGGCCGATTGCAGAGCCCAAACCTCGGGCCGTGAAGGGGAACCCAAAAGCCTGTTCAGGTGCCGGAACTGCAAGCAGCTGCCGAGAAGCTGCAGCTGGAAGTCGAGAGACTCACAGCTGAGGCAGCGGAGGTCCCGATCTCAGAGCTTCAGGACCTCAATACTCAACCGGTAGAACTTATTTGTATGTCATCCACCGTGGCACTGCCGGCATCCGCGGGCTTTGGTGCGGTGATCTGGGGAAGGCTTGTTCATCGCTTGGTACCTTGGTTCACAAGACCTGCATGCAAGCATGGAGGACAGGACAAGACAACAGCCTCAGTATTGTGTCCAGAGTGGTTTTGAGTTTATGTTCGGCTTTGCTATACAGCTGTTCGTATCACAGCCATGTTTCTTCCGAAGACAACGTTGCATCAGAATTTCTGAGACGATCAGGCTCCAAGACGTTTACGTTCCAGTCTGAATAACGCACGAAGCCACTAACCCGAGAAACCAACGGAAACCTGAGCCCGGACACGAGGGATAGCCGTTTGGAAGTGCTTGGTCAGATGATGCTTAAATTGCTTCAGGCATGATGGCTGACAAGGCCCGTCGAATCCTCCGACGAGTGGGAGTCGTAAACAAGCATTGACAACCATACCCTGATCCATGAAAGTCTGCAGGAGTGCATGATGCCGGGCAAACCCTGACGTGCGCAATATTTTTTGCAACTGTGACCGGGGGCCTTTGAATTGCATGAAATGCAGGCAGCAACCCAGCCTTTAACCATGAAAGTGATGACTGGGCAGTCCCTGACGCGCAAGATGCACGTGGCATGTACAGGGGTTCAGCAACATGAAGTGTGCTGGAAACGACGTGCGGCAAAGCAACTTGAAGTCTTTCTCTGAGGCGTCTGCATTGAAGGTGCAGATCGCTGATGTGGAGGCATGATCTCTGAGCTGTGCAGACTTGTGACTTCTTCCTGTTGGTTCCGGTGCGAGGGTCCCCGTTGGTCTCAAGGCTCAGCGGGCGGCAGCCTTGCAAGAGGCTGCTGGCGTGGCCGAGCTTCGGCAGCAGGTGGACCGGCTTCGGTCCGAAGCTTCGGAGGCCGACGCGCCGATGGGAATCCGACGGGAGCGTGGGCCGTCCATGTGATTTTCGCGGCAGGTGGACGAGTTGCGTGCCAGGCTTGCGCAGCTGGAGGCAGCGCGCACGTGAAACATGAGTGTAGATGACCTCCCTCACACCTTGGCCGCACCATGCCGTGACTAACTCAATCATGACTTGTCATGGTTTCATACAGTCATAAAGTGACACGAAGTTCCAAGGCCACTTTGATCGAAGCGTTCGTTGCTTACCTGCATGCAGCTTGCCGCAAATCTCCAGAAACTGAGGCTCCTGCATCTGTGGCAGCCGTCGCAGCGCCTGCTGTCAGCGGAGGCAGTCAAGCCGGCTATAGCTCCGTCAGCATCAATTTGTAAGGCGTACGGTTATGTGGCACTGGCAACCAATCTGTGTGTTGACGTCCTGCATCAGCACCACGATCAGAAAGGCTGCGGTGCCCAACCGCACAGACTAACAAGCACCCATGGTGACACGGCTTGGGTGAAAGATGAGTGTTCTTTTCACAGAAGGCATGCAGGATTCAGTGTCCAAGGTTCCGGCTTTTGGAACCCATAAGAGGGACATCGCGTCGAAACAAGATCTGTCAACCACATGCAAGCATGTAATGCATGTTTCAGTTTATCATGGCGCAAAGAATGCAGAGGAAAGACTTGCTTGGGCAGCCGGGCAACAGTTTCGGATTCTTTGCAAATCTGGCACTTGAATCCAGCAATGGGCAGCCAGGACAAGTTCGACAGTGCATGGTTTGCCTTCAGCTTGGGAAGGGTTTCTGAGAGCATCATGGTTTCAGATCAGATGCATATTGGCTCAACGTGCGACATCTGAGACTTTTCTCTCAAGCGGGGAAGCGGGGGAGGTGCGGGGGATGCAAACATGCGGTCGTTTGGGGAGAGCGCTTTAAAGCATTTCGCATACGGGTTGTTCGTTCATACGCTGTTTGCATCTTTCGTTGCCAACAGACGCTTACTAGTTTTCGACACCTCGGAGGTGCAGACGGCTGGGACGATTTTGATTTTGACACGGACACGGTGGACCCTACCACTGCTGCAGCTGGACCGTTGACACTAGTTTGCTTTCGTGCCCAGTAGGTCATTGCCACAGCCGGAAGTGAGCAAACTCTCGTGGTAATCGTCCTCAAGTCTTGGCTGACGTATGTACCCGAAAGTGTGCCTGCAAAGCAGCAGAAGGTTTCGAGAGCGGTTACACGGTTCCTAGTCCTATATAGCTCAACAGCAAATAAACACCTCTCACATGTCGAGTTTCGAATGTTGGCGAAGTCTGCAGTGGGCGACTAAGGCAGTGAAGGCCGATGCTGGCCTTGGTGCAGAAGCAGAGGACGAAGGCACCTTGAGCAATGATGGGGATTTGGTCCGGTCAGGGGTTTCGTAACGACAGCGCTCATTACAATCCAACCAGCTCGTTTCTGCCTTGTAGTTGCAAGGCGGAGATGGCTGGGCAAACGACTTGGACCTCGGCAACTCGACTCATGCGCAAATTTGTTTCGATTGTCGCCCTCTCGGTGTTTGCCATGTTCAGAATTCTGTTGATGTGCTCTCCGAAGGTGCTGAGCTCGCTTTGGGAGCACCTCATCTCCAAGCAGATTCCTGATTGCTCGAATCAGAAGACAGTGATTTTTCCCGCGAGCACTGCGCGCTGAGCTCAAGTCGGGCGTTCTCGGTGACTGCAGCCCAGGAGCCTGCTGTCTCCCAGCCGGAAGCTGCTGTGGCATCTGCGGAACTGGAGAAGCTCAAGTTCGAAGCAGCGCAGGTGGGCCATTAGACTTGCCTCGCGATCTCTGCAGCGGCGGGATAGAGAGAGAGCGAGAGAGAGCGAGACTATTCCCGTGGAGTCTCTACCTTTCACTGCCACCCAAAAATCCCCGGTGCGCGAATTCGCGCGGGGGGGAGGGTGCTTGGCACGCAACTCCTCTGGCCGAGATGAAGAAGAGAGCGAGAGAGCAAGCAAGAGTCGGAGTGTTGCACTTTTCTATTGTGGTTTCTAAATTGCGGCATTTTTGCCCCTGCAACAGTCGGGGCCGCACAAGCACGCGGTGAGGTGGGATCTCTCACCACAGCCCTGGCGAAAGAAAGAGAGGAGAGAGCATTTACTATTCTCGTGATAATGGTGCAGCAGTATCAGACTCTTTCGTGCAGACAGTCCGAACAATTGTCATAGCGATGGTAGTGAAAAACGGTCATGCAATGCAGGAGACACAATAGTCCAACTACTCCAGATATCCCGGCCGTATTCTGCGGCTTACAGACGTGACAAGCATGGAGGCAGCCAGAGTTAAGTGGGGCACATCACGTGACGGTCATGTCTCACATCTTCCAATACTTCAGCATACTCAGGAACATCAAGGAACCACGGAGATTGTTCACATCTCCCTCAACGATTGCCCGCGCACCCATGCGCCCATCGGTCAGGTGCATGAGATGCGGAGCAGGCTTGCAGAGCTCGAGGTGGGGAGACGCGCGTCTCAAAGCGAGAAAGGGTGCAGCACGAACGACGAACGTGCTTGGCACGCTGTGCTGTTTGATTGCAGGTGGAGCGCGAGTCCACTCTCAAAGCGCAAGCGGCGGCAGAGCAACTTCAGCAGGAAGTTCAGCGACTGCAAGCGGAAGCGGCAGAGGCACAGGCAAAGCTGGCCGACAGCGAGGTGTGGGTGCGTGTATGCACCATACGTCAGAATATCGAACGTTAACGTTAGCAAGCACCTACCGCTCCTAACACATAGAACCGGGTGCAAGGCGCAACGCGCAGCTGCCGTTCAAGATGCCGCTGGTTCTGCGGAGCTGCAGCAGGAGGTGAACCGATTGAAGTCCGAGAGCGCGCAGGCTCGGCCGATTGCAGAGCCCAAACCTCGGGCCGTGAAGGGGAACCCAAAAGCCTGTTCAGGTGCCGGACCTGCAAGCAACCGCCGAGAAGCTGCAGCTGGAAGTCGAGAGACTCACAGCTGAGGCAGCGGAGGTCCCGATCTCAGAGCTTCAGGACACCAATATTTCACCGGTGGAATGGACCTGCATGTCATCCACAGTGCTGCTGTTGGCATGGCCGAGAGATGCCGAGAGTCTAGACTACACCGCGAAAAGCTTATTGGTTGGTATTGCATCATGTTTCATATGCTTGTCCTCGAAAACAATCCCAGAAGCCATGGCGAAGCCATGGCGGGCAATTTCTGGAAATTTGCAGATTGACCACCTTAGCACCCCATCTTCGATCGGTCGACGACAAACCGGTACACGCGCCCGCGCAGCATTTTCCAGACGAGTGATTGCAGTCACGCGTGCGACCGTGCAAGGAGGGAGATACAAGTCCGGGAGGGGCTTCAGCAACGAGGCTTTAGGGTGGCCCACACATGAACATGCATAAACCATGCGAGCAAGACGTGGGTGGGGGCGGGGGGGACGAGGTTAGCCGGCGAGTAGCAGTGGTGCAAGGCGTTTCAAAACGCACGTGCTTGGCACGCTGTGCTGTTTGACTGCAGGTGGAGCGCGAGTCCACTCTCAAAGCGCAAGCGGCGGCAGAGCAACTTCAGCAGGAAATTCAGCGACTGCAAGCGGAAGCGGCAGAGGCACAGGCAAAGCTGGCCGACAGCGAGGTGTGGGTGCGTGTATGCACCATACGTCAGAATCTCCTAATTAACACACAGAACCGGGTGCAAGGCGCAACGCGCAGCTGCCGTTCAAGATGCCGCTGGTTCTGCGGAGCTGCAGCAGGAGGTGAACCGATTGAAGTCCGAGAGCGCGCAGGCTCGGCCGATTGCAGAGCCCAAACCTCGGGCCGTGAAGGGGAACCCAAAAGCCTGTTCAGGTGCCGGACCTGCAAGCAACCGCCGAGAAGCTGCAGCTGGAAGTCGAGAGACTCACAGCTGAGGCAGCGGAGGTCCCGATCTCAGAGCTTCAGGACACCAATATTTAACCGGTGGAACGGACCTGCATGTCATCCACAGTGCTGCTGTCGGCATGGCCGAGAGATGCCGAGAGTCTAGACTACACCGCGAAAAGCTTATTGGTTGGTATTGCATCATGTTTCATATGCTTGTCCTCGAAAACAATCCCATGGCAATTTCTGGAAATTTGCAGATTGACCACCTTAGCACCTCATCTTCGATCGGTCGACGACAAACCGGTACACGCGCGCGCAGCATTTTCCAGACGAGTGATTGCAGTCACGCGTGCGACCGTGCAAGGAGGGAGATACAAGTCCGGGAGGGGCTTCAGCAACGAGGCTTTAGGGTGGCCCACACATGAACATGCATAAACCATGCGAGCAAGACGTGGGTGGGGGCGGGGGGGACGAGGTTAGCCGGCGAGTAGAAGTGGTGCAAGGCGATGCAAAACGCACGTGCCTGGCACGCTGTGCTGTTTGACTGCAGGTGGAGCGCGAGTCCACTCTCAAAGCGCAAGCGGCGGCAGAGCAACTTCAGCAGGAAGTTCAGCGACTGCAAGCGGAAGCGGCAGAGGCACAGGCAAAGCTGGCCGACAGCGAGGTGTGGGTGCGTGTATGCACCATACGTCAGAATCTCCTAACACATAGAACCGGGTGCAAGGCGCAACGCGCAGCTGCCGTTCAAGATGCCGCTGGTTCTGCGGAGCTGCAGCAGGAGGTGAACCGATTGAAGTCCGAGAGCGCGCAGGCTCGGCCGATTGCAGAGCCCAAACCTCGGGCCGTGAAGGGGAACCCAAAAGCCTGTTCAGGTGCCGGACCTGCAAGCAACCGCCGAGAAGCTGCAGCTGGAAGTCGAGAGACTCACAGCTGAGGCAGCGGAGGTCCCGATCTCAGAGCTTCAGGACACCAATATTTAACCGGTGGAACGGACCTGCATGTCATCCACAGTGCTGCTGTCGGCATGGCCGAGAGTTTAGGACTAACACATGACGCATCATTCCGCGCAAGCGGGCAGGCTGCAGGCTTTATGGTACTAGAAAAAGCTTCGTAGGGTCATTCTCCGAGGGTATTCTTCTTCGGGAATCCTCGGGACGGAAACGAAGAAACTGCCAATCGGACTCGAGCACGGCATCTGCTCGTGGGTAGCCGCTGGCGACAGGCGACACCGGTTTTCTCTAGCCCCGCTGGGCCGCCTGACCAGATCCCAGACGCACATTTGCCCAAAAACCACGACCTTCGTCGCACCCTCAGTTCAACAATGTATGGATATTGATATTGAGTTACACGGGGAGCAGGGCGCAATTCCAACATCAGCTTGGCCCACGCCACGTATGAGAGTCGAAACCTACAGGCTACAAAGCCTAAAGCCTGTGGTGACAAGATGAGACATGCTCTGGCGCGATGGCTGGCAGAACCTGAATGAGAATGATGTCTGGCAATCGCCAGCGCTCGTCCACTATGCACGATGTTTTGAAAGCAGTCGCATGGGAGGCATGTGGCAAAGCAACTTGAAGTCTTCGCCTGAGGTGTCTGCATTGAAGATGCAGATCGCCGATGTGGAGGCAGGATCGTTGAGCTGCGCAGACTTGTGACTGGGTCCCTGTTGGTCTCAAGGCTCAGCGGGCGGCAGCCTTGCAAGAGGCTGCTGGCGTGGCCGAGCTTCGGCAGCAGGTGGACCGGCTTCGGTCCGAAGCTTCGGAGGCCGACGCGCCGATGGGAATCCGACGGGAGCGTGGGCCGTCCATGCGATTTTCGCGGCAGGTGGACGACTTTCGTGCCAGGCTGGCGCAGCTCGAGGCAGCGCGGACGTGAAAGTGTAGACTCAGTGTAGATGACAGCTGCGAACCATTTGTTACCCTATGAAACCTCCAGAAACTGAGGCCCCTGCAGCTGCGGCGGTTGCTGCATCCGTGGCAGCGCCCGCTCTCGGTGGAGGCAGTCATGCCAGCGGGGACGGACGGTTTTTGAGAACTTCTGCCAGGTGCTAGGTCCGATAGGTTGCTTAGCTTTGTGAGACGCGCGTTAGGAAACGTGATTTCATTGCGGAGTTTTAGGAGATGTCGCTGGTTGAGGCGAGAGGTCATGAGACCAAGGGAGCCCTGGACGGACACGACGACCATGACCACCAGAACTACCAGGACGATCACGAGGAGCACTTCGACCAGACGACCGCCAGAAGACCACCAGGAGACAACCCAGACCAAAGGGAGATGAGGAGAACACCACGGCCACAGTGCTTTCACCCATACTGCTGCCGGGATTGACAGGCACGACCACAAGGCTTTCCCGCATGTGCTGACAGCATTCGCGAGCACGGAGCTACTGGTCAGATTCAGGAGCAAGGCAACACTGCTTCCTCCAGGTACAGATGTAGGAGCACGGTTAAAAAGCCTCCCGGCAAGTGCTGGCGGGATTAACGCTGCCAATGCAGTGGAATGTACAACGGATCTGGCTTTCTGGTGACGCAGCCGCACGGATGCCCGCATAAGCAATATTTAACCGCTAGCGGCTAGCGGCTAGCAGGGAAGGTGGGGGAGGGGGTGCATGGTGGATATAGGAAGCACAGCGGGAGCCGCGTCGCCTCGCACCCACCCGAATTCTCTTGAACCTGTCGTTCGCATCCCGTGCTGTGCACCACACTGTCCCGGAAGTGTTCCAGTGGCCGTCACGTATGGCATATGGTTATACAACAATAGATAGAGGCAGACTGCCAGACAGTGGGACAGACCCATACGCACATACACGCACACGACCGAAGGAACACATAGGACATACATACTAGATCATCTAGATCAATACATACATTCGATATGCGCACGTATGGTGCAAATCTTCTTCTCCTATATACTGGGTACATTCAAAATATACTTTTTATACATTCACAAGACATTTCATGCACCGACAGCTCCAGCATAAATACTGTCCTTGATCGGTGTTGACGCCTTTGGAGGTGGAGACGGTTGGGAAGATTTCGATCTTGACATGGAAACGACCGCTCCTGCCACGACAGCAACTTGGCCATAATTGGGCGAGTAGTGGCATTGGTTCCGGTGATTGGTCCATTGTCGCATGCAGTTGGTCGGGGTCGTTCTTGCCGCATAGTCTCGGCGAGCTTCGCTCGGAAGTGTACCAGTGTATCTGTAATCCAACAGACATTCTCAACGGCGGTCGGGGGGTTTCGGCCTGGCACGAGCACAGTTCAGTTTCACAGCACACCTTGGCAGACAACACCTCTCACATGTCGAGTTTCGAATGTTGGGGAGCTCTGGAGTGGACGGCAAAGGCAGTGAAAGCCGATGCTGGCCATGGTGCAGAGGCAGATGGCGAAGGCACGTTGAGCGATGATGTCTTGACGACAATGACAGTGCCCATCATCTAGCCAAACCAGCTCGTTTTCCGGCTTGTAGATTCGCGCGGGCGAAGGTGGGGATGGCTGGGCAGACGACTTGGACCTCGGCCACTCGACTCATGTGCGATTAATTTTCCATTGCCGCTCTCTCGGTCTTTGCCATGTTGCTTCAGAATTATGTTCATGTTCTTTGCAAAGGAGCCGAGCTGACAATGGGAGCAGCTCATCTCAAGGTAACGGCCGAGTGGTTTGCTGAACGATTTGGTTAAAAAGGGTTTGAGCCCAACCAGTGAGCAGAGCTGCCTGTTACTGGGCAGTTCGGCCAAACCGCCTGAATCGGAAGTTCACAGTATAGTCAATAAAGTAAGGTCTCATGGATGGAGTTTATGGACTGTTTGTATCTAGTCCGCCTGCAACAGCACGATAACTTCCGTTGATGGGATCCTCCTCCCATGACCCGACCATCCCCAAGGACACAGGCGGTCCACAGGTTTTCGACATGGCCATGGACGACGACCTCGCGCAGGACATCGAAATGCAGGGTCATTGCTCAGGGCAGGTTCAACTCTTGGAAGGATTGCTGACCGTACCGTCTTCAGACTAAATGCCTGAGGAGGCCACAACGCACGGTGATGAGAAGACCGCAGTGGACACGCTGCAGGCAACAGCATGCATGCGCATGCGTTGACGCTAGTCTTGTCATGAGAGAACTGCTAGAGCATCCTCCTTCCACTGGCAACACGGGTTCTCGCAAGCTACAGCCTACTATCAGCAGCTGAAAGGACCTAGGTCGAGACATGTCGGCCTAACAAAGCATATCAAAGAACAAAACTTGCTGCACGCATCGCCTTGAGTGTTTGTGGTTCTAAAACCCTATTCTAATTCATAAGGCCCCTATATCAGACCCTCTTTCTCAGCCGAGTTGGTGGGCAATTGCCCGCCGACGCCTGCCCCCAGTGGGCTCCTGCTTGGCAACCGGGATGCTGTATGCCGGAACTCGTGTAGCACAGGGCAGGGCAGGGCCAGCTGTGTGTTCATGCCGCTCATGCCGGCAGGCTCGAATTACGGAGCTGGAGGGCCAGCTTATCCAAACGCAAGATGTGGCTTGACGCAGCTCCAATCTTGTTTTTTGCTCTTTGATAGGAACAACATGAACATGAAATAAGCAGTGGTGCAGGGGGGAAGAGGACGCGAACCAGCCCACAGTAGTGCAAATACGAGCATGCCTGGCATCGGTCCCTGCTGAATACTACACGAGCCTGCTTGCCATGCTCTGCGCAGTTCGTGTGCAGGCGGAGCGCGAGTCTGCCCTCAAGGCACAAGCAGCCGTCGAGCAGCTTCAGCAAGAAGTGCAGCGGCTACAAGCAGAAGCTGCGGAGGCGCAGCACCGCACGACATGTTGTGCGCAAGCATCCCTACCACTCCTGACACAAAGAACCGCGTGCAAGGCGCAACGCGCAGCTGCCGTTCAAGATGCCGCTGGTTCTGCGGAGCTGCAGCAGGAGGTGAACCGATTGAAGTCCGAGAGCGCGCAGGCTCGGCCGATTGCAGAGCCCCAACCTCGGGCCGTGAAGGGGAACCCAAAAGCCTGCTCAGGTGCCGGAACTGCAAGCAGCTGCCGAGAAGTTGCAGCTGGAAGTCCAGAGACTTACGGCTGAGGCAGCGGAGGTCCCGATCTCAGAGCTTCACGATTTCAAATGTTGGTGTGAATATTAAATGTACATAATTAGTATGTCATCTCACGGCCGAGGGTTCAGGACTAAGTGCGTCGGTCCGGATATCCTCGCTGTACAAGAAGTTGCGTCGGGTGAGACTCGGAGGGCATACTCCGGACCGAAAATGAAGAAACTGCCAATTTCAGCGCCCACGTCAGTTTGCTGCTCTCTTCAACGCCTTCTTGTGCAGGCTATGAGCTCGGAGACTTTAAATTATAAACCTGTGCTCGACTGTCTCAGATGCCTTCCACAGGTCACGAGTTTGTGTCAAGTGCCCAACTCATCCAAGCTTCCATCTATTCCGTCGATGCTTTACGCGTCCCGGCGGACAAGACGTTGTCCATGTCATTTTCGCCGCAGGCGGACGAGTTGCGGTCCAAGCTGGCGCAGCTGGAGGCAGGTCAGACGTGAAACATGAATGTGTAAATGACCTCTCATACCCCAGGCCGCACCATGCCACAACTGACTCAATCATGGCGTGTCATGGTTTGAGAAACTGAGGCGGCTGCATCTGGGGCAGCTGTCGCAGTGCCTGCTGCTAGCGGAGGCAGCAAAAAGCTCAAGCCACAGCTGTACGGACTCTAACGACAAAGATGGACGTTTGTAGACGACGAGCCACGTGCTTTGATGTAGTTGTTGAAGCCAGCTGAAGACGCAGCAGGCGTATCGGTCGTATATGAATGTATGCATGCATATACATACATGTACACACAAACACACACACACACACACACACACACACACATATATATATATATATATATATACATACGCACATACATATATACATATACATACATATACATACTTATACATGTATATATATATATATGTGTATATATATAGTATGTGTGTGTCTATATGTAGATTGTCTTTTCAATGTAAACTTAAATGTGTACATACACATGCACGTGCACACGATCGTGAAACCCAACTTGCATGTGATCATATACTACTCTTTCCCAGACTGGGGTAACCAGCTTTTGCCACCATGCAGGTGCAGATGGTTGGGACGATTTCGATTTTGATATAGAGACGCCCGCCCCTGCCACTGCAGCAGCTTAGCAGCGCTTCAGGATCGTTTGCCTGAGAATCAGCCTTACATTTTTTTTAAGCGGTGGTCAAGCTCAAGCATCCAGATGCAGTTTCCACGCTGCATACCCGTGAGGCAGTGAAAGCTGGCCTTGGTGCAGAAGCAGAGGACGAAGGCATGTTGAGCAGTGCTGGGGCTTTGGTCCGGTCAGGGGTTTCGTAACGACAGCGCTTAGCACAATCCAACCAGCTCGTTTCTGCGTTGTAGTTTCAAGGCGGAGATGGCTGGGCAAACGACTTGGACCTCGGCCACTCGACTCATGTGCGATTAGGTTTCGATTGCCGCCCTCTTGGTTTTTGCCATGTCGCTTCAGAATTATGTTGACATGCTCTGCAAAGGAGCCGAGCTGACTATGGGAGCAGCTCGACTGCAAGCTACTGGTAGCTCCTGTCTGCTCGCATCAGACGTGAGTGATTGTCCACGAGAGCTGTGCTGCCGAGCTCAACTCGGGCTAGCTCGGTGACTGCTGCCCAGGAGCCTGCTGTCTCCCAGCCGGAAGCCGCTGTGGCTTCTGCCGAACTGGAGAAGCTCAAGTCCGAAGCCGCGCAGGTGGGGCGAGTGCTGCGGAGCTTTCGAAAAAGGTTCTGGGTGGACGGCGGATTTGTTGGGCTAAGTCGGGGCAGGGTCCGGACGTTGCCATGGCAGAGGGCTACGATGATTCGTCGAGTCAAGAAGCAGCATGCAGTCTTGTCTTCGTCTATGCACTTATACGGGTATGCGTTCATGCAAGCAAAGCAAAACCGCCCAAGTTCAGCGAAGTTTCACGCCGAGACCGAGCTAGGAACGGGGAAAACCCTTCTAATCTGAGTATCGTGTGAGCGCGGTTGTCAGGTGCATGAGATGCGGAGCAGGCTTGCAGCACTCGAGGTGGGGAGACGCGAGTCTGGACGGCCAGCAAGAATGCAGCTCGAAGGTGCTTGGCAGGCTGTGCTGTTTGATTGCAGGTGGAGCGCGAGTCTGCTCTCAAAGCACAAGCGGCGGCAGAGCAACTTCAGCAGGAAGTTCAGCGACTGCAAGCGGAAGCGGCAGAGGCACAGGCAAAGCTGGCCGACAGCGAGGTGTGGGCCGGGTGTATGCCAGTGTATGCACCATACTGAATGTTGTACGCACGCATCCCGGGTGTTTATGACACAAAGAGCCTGGTGCAAGGTGCAACGTGCAGCTGCCGCCCAAGATGCCGCTGGTTTTGCGGAGCTGCAACAGGAGGTGAATCGATTGAAGTCCGAAAGCGCGCAGGCTCGGCCAGCCCAAATCTCTGCAGTGAAGGGCCGTGAAGGAGAACCGAAAAGCCTGCTCAGGTGCCGCAGCTGCACGCAACCGCTGAGAAGCTGCAGCTAGAAGTCCAGAGACTTACAGCTGAGGCAGCGGAGGTCCCGATCTCAGAGCTTCAGGACCCCAATACCCCGTGCTTGCCTGTCATCCAACTCAATTTTCTTGGCATGGCCGAAGCCGGAAAATCTCAACCCGGAGACCCTTTCGGAAGCACAGTTGCCCAGCAGCAAGCTTCAGTCTTGTACCATCCTCCAAATCAAGAAGTAGTCCAGATGTGTAGTAGGTTCTCAGTGGCACCCAACCTTTACCCATGAAAGAGTGACTTACAATCCCTGATGCGCAAGATATGCGTGTCATGTACAGGGGAAATGCTGAGTCATTGAGCAACGTGAGAGAGCGCTGGAGCCGAAGCTGATCGCAAGCTCGCTGGTGCAGCAAAACTTTGCCTGAGGTGTCTGCATTGAAGGTGCAGATCGCTGATGTGGAGGCATGATCTCTGAGCTGTGCAGACTTGTGACTTCTTCCTGTTGGTTCCGGTGCGAGAGTCCCCGTTGGTCTCAAGGCTCAGCGGGCGGCAGCCTTGCAAGAGGCTGCTGGCGTGGCCGAGCTTCGGCAGCAGGTGGACCGGCTTCGGTCCGAAGCTTCGGAGGCCGACGCGCCGATGGGAATCCGACGGCAGCGTGGGCCGTCCATGTGATGTTCCCTGCAGGTGGACGACTTGCGCGCCAGGCTGGCGCAGCTCGAGGCAGCGCGGACGTGAAACATGAGTGTACATGACCTCCCTCACACCTTGGCCGCACCATGCCGCGACTAACTCAATCATGACTTGTCATGGTTTCAGAACGTGCGTTGTTGCTTGCCTGCGGAAACTGCAGAAGGCCCCTACAGCCGGGACGGCTGTCGCACCCGGCGCAGCACCCGCTGTCAGTGGAGGCACACCTGCACAGTCTCAGGTACCATAAGGCTTGAAAATTTTGCTCCATGTGTGGCATTGCAACATGAGGCAGCTCAACGGTTGACGTAGTGTACATGTGCATAGTTACATGCCTATAACACATCCTACCTCACAGATGTAGAGACACAGAAGCTAGATCGAGCCGAAACTTCCAGTTCACGCTTTGAACCATCGGAGGCGCGGACGGTTGGGACGATTTTGATTTTGACATGGAGGCCGCCGCTCCGACCACAACAGCAACTTGGCGGCGATTCCACAAGTCGCAACAATGGATCTGGTGTGAAATGCGACATGCTCGCACATGGTAGTTCAAGAGCCGCTTCTCGTCGTCCTCAACAGCACAATAAAGTCCATGTTGAAAATTGTCGTGGCTTGGCATTCAACTTGGTGTTGCTAGCCCGCCTGCAGTTGCCTTCAAAGGCAGCGAAAGTTGACGCTGGACTTGTTGCAGAGGCCGAAAAAGAAGGCACGTTGAATCATGTTGAGAAGTGATGGGTTGGTGTGCCTCACGATGGTACGTAGATGTACGAAGAATCGCCGAATCAATTTGCGTTTGCTTGTGACGAGGCGTGGATGGCTGGGCAAACGAGCTGGATTTGGGCCACTCGACTCACGGGCATGGTGACGTTTTGGGCTCTCTCGGCTCTGCCATGCTGCAGAGTTTCGTGGAAAATCTTTGCCAAGGAGATGCCGGCCTGACGATGGGAGCAGCTCGTCTCGAAGCTGGCAGTTGGATGATTTGCTGAACAGGTTTTCTGAAGTTGACTTATGGCAGAACGTTGCCATTGACATCATGCTCTGAGGATACGGGCGGTCCACAGGGTGGCATGGCTGACGACGACCTTGTCCAGGATGAGTCGGGGCTTGTTGACGTTGAGCATTCCTGCCGGCAGCGGCAACTCTAGGATGGAATGTCGACAGAGTTTTAGCACACCACCGACCATGCCATCCCAGAAGTGCATGTCCAGGGGGCAAACGGTGATGAGAAAGCCACAGTGGACGCGCTGCAGGCAATGCCTGTCCATGTGGCCTTGCGCAGCGAAGAGCATTGTGGCTGCTGTGCATTGATGCCGCTCATTCTTGCAGGCTCGAATTGCGCAGCTAGAGGGCCAGCTTGTCCAAACTGAAGACGTGGCCTGGCGCAGTTTCCCTGCATTGCTCGAGCCTGGAGGGGGATGACCACGTGCTAATCAGGTCCTCCGTGAGGCCGAAGAAGCCAAGAAGCAGGCCTACCGCAGGGAGAGCCTGGGGAACTAGGGACTTGCCTTAGGGGACTTGTGCTGTCAGGCCTTGGCAAAGCAACAAGCTGCCGAAGAAGCAGAGAGAGCCAGACTGGAGGCTCCAGAACCACGTTGCGTAGTGAAAGCTGACCCGAGCGCGTCGCTGAGGCCGAACGCCTCCAAGAACAGGGCCAGCGCGTGCGCATGTTGGAGGACGATGGAAGCCCCCTCATAAAAGGCTACATAAACAGGAAATTAATTGACCACCTGTCGGAGAGCCCCTGCGCTGACAGTTTGTCTTTGCTTTGGACGCACCCAGCTCCACTCGCAGGAGCAGCTGTCAGCCGCCGAGGCGGCAAGGCGGGCTCAGAGGGTAATGGCTTAGGTCACAATCTCAAGTGCATCTTCGAAAGGGTACCACATCTCCCGTACCCTCTCGCACGAGTTAAGACGCAAGATTATGCAAGCAACCAGGAATGAGTCCGCAAGCAGAGACTCTAAAACACACACTAACTAACTCTCGCTGAAAGCTGGCCACTCTATCCATCACCTTAGCCTTCCGTGGTGGGTTGCCACCCTGTTACGAAACGGGGGCACACTTTGTAAAGAACAGAGAGAGGACTGCCGGCAGTCCATCGAGTCCGTCCTCTTAGCTCTGGCATGTTGCAGCCTGATCTGTAGCTACTCTACTCAGTTTGCTATCGCTTATGTGGTGGCTGTTGTTGCCAGTGAAATTCATCCCCATGGCTGCGCGACCATCATCATCCATCATCTACGGTGCCTTCTCCGCATTGGGCCTGTATCTGCCAGAAACTGTCAAGTAGACGAATCCTTCCCTGCCCGAAGTCCTGTCAGGCTCAAATCCGACGAGGCGCACGCAGCGTCGGCGGCACAGTTGGCGGCTTTGGAACTTGAGGCCTGACTTCGCATAGCATCCCTTCGTGATGTTCAGAAGATGATGTAAGTAGTTCCAGAACTTGCAGTAGAGTAGAAAGAGTACTGTATAGCAGCAGCAGCAATACTGACAGCAGTAGTGATAGTATCGGAGTATGGGAGTACAGGAGCTGGAGACGAATGCAGAGGCGGCATCACAGGCATACAGGCGTAGGCATGTATGGGCATAGGCATAGATTAAGGCGAATAGCCGTGTAGGCGCTTGTGCTGGTGCCTGTGCTGGTGCTGGTGCTGGTGGTAGTAGTAGTAGTAGTAGTAGCAGCAGCAGAACTACTACTAGTCGTAGTAGTAGTCGGCGTCATAGTAGTAGTAGTAGTAGTAGTAGTAGTAGTAGTAGTAGTAGTAGTAGTAGTAGTAGTAGTAGTAGTAGTAGTAGTAGTAGTAGTCGTAGTAGTAGTAGTAGTAGTAGTAGTAGTACTAGTAGTACTAGTAGTACTAGTAGTAGTAGTAGTCGCAGTCGCAGTCGCAGGAGTAGTAGTAGTCGTAGTCGTAGTCGTAGTCGTAGTCGTAGTCGTAGTAGTAGTAGTAGTAGTAGTAGTAGTAGTAGTAGTAGTAGTAGTAGTAGGAGTGACAGTTCCAGGTAGAGGCCCATTCTTTCCACAATCCCGCTGCATCTGGGTTCTTCGGGGACCTGCGATTCAGTTGCAATGTATTTTAGGCTCGAAGTGTTTCAAATTCTGGTTGTGGTGGTGGTAGATGCGGCGCCAGTTGTTGAGTCAAGGTGCACGTGATTTAATTGTCAACGATTTGTGTCTGAAGTTTTCAGACCGCATCGAATTGTGCCAGCACACACTTCAACCAGTAGAAGACCCCAACCAGTGAAACAACACCTAGCATTCCAAGACCCCCTACAGTCCCAAGAGCCACCCCAGGAGCACCTGTCGTTAACATCCCATGGGGAGGATGATGAAGATGAGGATGATCATGATGACGATGAGGATCAACATCGCATTGTCTCACATCGCTTTGCGAGAATTGGATGTGTTGTTTCCCTCTTGCTTCCTCTTACCTATTCAAAAACTTGCTGTACGACGTATCCATGTAGGATATTAACACATCCACCTACATGCCGAACGCTTGCATTTGGAATCCAGGCATCCTGAATGCTGGGCTAGAAGTCTGACACTTCAATAGATGTGTCCATAGGTTGAAGGCTTGGTAGGAGCTCACGACGTTATTATCGGTGTGGGTTCATGGAAACCTGATGTGCTTTATTGGCATGTGTTTCAAGAGCGTCGTGCTGTCGGGCCCAGCACATCAGTCTTGCCTCGGCCCTCCAGGTGACTAAGTTGCGCAGCTGCCAGAAGGCCAGCCCACAGGTGCGGGCAGACAACGTAGCTGTCAAAATTCAGAATTGAGAGTGGCTGCTAGCGGCAATTCCTCGCAGTAGTGAAACGTTCGAAAGCATACCATCCTCCCAGGAGCCGGTGAACAGCGTGACGTCTGCAGGCGAGCCCGAGGGGTCGACTGGGTTTTCTCATGTTTTCTCGTTAGTTATCCGAGCATCCTGGACCATCCCCGAGCTTTGTGGTGATGCTTGTTTTCGGCAGGGCAGGGATGGGATGACTTCGACTTCGAGGAGTCTGCCACGAAAGCACCGGAGCCTTGCTACAACAAAGGTCATGTTGAATTTTTGGTAGCTTCCCAACAACCAGTTGCATCAGGCGCAATCAATGGGGTCTACTGGCATGCGGAGTATACCTGTCAAAGACGGTTGATCTCAGCCAAGGAACCTGCGACAAAGGCAACAGCTGTCGAGAGTGGAGGCGAATCAGAATACTGTGTAATTAATTAGGTAACCCAATCAGGTGTTTGCTAATCTCCGGGTTGGAAAGGGGGGCCTTCAGTATGAAAGTTCGCAGGACTTGGTAAAATGGTGTGCATGTCGAGCGGTACAAGCATCCTTGATATTCTGACAGCGAGGCCCCGGCTGGGACGACTTCGACTTGGAGGATTCAGTGCCGAAGGCAGCCGTGTCCTAGCCGAATTTGTATGGACCGTTTTTGCATGGAGGTTGGTCGACATCGCTCGCAGTAAAACACTTTCGTCATGAGTCGTAGTGACATGAAATCCGGCAGACATCCTGCCAAGCTCAAGTCCTAAGTCAGAAAACATGAGGGATGAAAAAACATCCGGAGAGCAGATTTTAAAGTAGATGCGCCCGACAGTTGAGAGCAATCGATTTCCTTGTAAAGCGGTAAGAGTAAAATGAAACGATAACGAATATGTGAGACATCCAACAGTTTCAAACTCATCCAAATTACTGTAAAACGATAAGAGTAGAAAACAACGATAACGCTATTGAGGGACAAGCAGATGGATACGGAATTTTCACGCATCCCCACATGAGCCTGCCCAGACCCTCAAAGAAGTGGCGGTGCCCAGACATAGGCCCGGGACATCCCGGAACTATGTTGCTGTTCAGCTAGTGCAGTTCCCACGAGCTGAGGAACCCACGGCGAAGCCTGCAGCGGCATCCGCTGACAGCGAAGGCAGAAACAGCGTCGCCAGCTGTGGACATGCCCCGGGAAATCTAGCACCCAACTCCACCATTACTAGATCGTTCCACTCACACTGCGACTTTAATGTATCTGATCAACGCTCTTGACAGTTTGTCAAAAGTTGGGAAAACAGGTCCCAACCTGCGACAATCAGGCCAGGGCTGGGATGACTTCGACTTCGAGGAGTCCGCGCCCAAAGCGGCCGTGCCTTGCTCGGTACAGATGAGCATGCTTGGTTTTTGTGCTGGGTTCCAGCAGGCTTCCAGCAGGTCTTCAACTTGAGGCATTCTAAGGCTTTGTTTGCAGATTGTGTTAGGCTTGATTCCGGTGCGTTGCAGTGAGAGTGAAGAGTTGTTTTCTGTTCAAAGTCCTCATGCCTTTCGTTGTTACAAGCCAAGGAACCCAAGGCGAAGGCTGCAGTGGCATCCGCTGACAGCGAAGGCAGACAGAGCATCACGAGCTGAAGATATGCCCCCGGCACTCTAGCACCCCTAACCAGTACTGGATCGTTCATTGCAGGCGTTTTAGTCAGGCCCTGACAATGCGACTCTAATGTATCTGACCAACGCTAGTTTTTCAAAGTTAACCTGCGACAATCAGGCCAGGGCTGGGATGACTTCGACTTCGAGGAGTCCGCGCCCAAAGCGGCCGTGCCTTGCTCGGTACAGATGAGCATGCTTGGTTTTTGTGCTGGGTTCCAGCAGGCTTCCAGCAGGTCTTCAACTTGAGGCATTCTAAGGCTTTGTTTGCAGATTGTGTTAGGCTTGATTCCGGTGCGTTGCAGTGAGAGTGAAGAGTTGTTTTCTGTTCAAAGTCCTCATGCCTTTCGTTGTTACAAGCCAAGGAACCCAAGGCGAAGGCTGCAGTGGCATCTGCTGACAGCGAAGGCAGACAGAGCATCACGAGCTGAAGATATGCCCCCGGCACTCCAGCACCCCTAACCAGTACTGGATCGTTCATTGCAGGCGTTTTAGTCAGGCGCTGACAATGTGACTTTAATGTACCTGACCAACGCTAGTTTGTCAAAAGTTAGCCTGCGACAATCAGGCCAGGGCTGGGATGACTTCGACTTCGAGGAGTCCGTGCCCAAAGCGGCCGTGCCTTGCTCGGTACAGTTGAGCATGTCGGGTTTTTCTGCTCGATTCCAACGGGTCTCTACAGGCATTGAAAAGGCTTGTTTGCAGATTGTGCCAGGCTTGATTTCGGTGCGTTGCAGTGGGGTGACGAGTGAAGAGTTCCAGATCAGCGTTTCTGTTGTTTTCTGTTCAATGTCCTCATGCCTTTCGTTGTTACCAGCCAAGGAACCCAAGGCGAAGGCTGCAGTGGCATCCGCTGACAGCGAAGGCAGAAAGAGCATCGCGAGCTGTAGACATATCCCGGGCACTCTAGCACCCCTAACTATGCTGGATCGTGGATTGCAGGCATTTTATTCGGGAGCTGACAATGCGACTTTAATGTATCTGATCAACGCTCTTGACAGTTTGTCAAAACTTAACCTGCGACAATCAGGCCAGGGCTGGGATGACTTCGACTTCGAGGAGTCTGTGCCCAAAGCGGCCGTGCCTTGCTCGATACAGATGAGCATGCTTGGTTTTTGTGCTGGGTTCCAGCAGGCTTCCAGCAGGTCTTCAACTTGAGGCATTCTAAGGCTTTGTTTGCAGATTGTGTGAGGCTTGATTCCGGTGCGTTGCAGTGAGTGAAGAGTTGTTTTCTGTTCAAAGTCCTCATGCCTTTCGTTGTTACAAGCCAAGGAACCCAAGGCGAAGGCTGCAGTGGCATCTGCTGACAGCGAAGGCAGACAGAGCATCACGAGCTGAAGATATGCCCCCGGCACTCCAGCACCCCTAACCAGTACTGGATCGTTCATTGCAGGCGTTTTAGTCAGGCCCTGACAATGCGACTCTAATGTATCTGACCAACGCTAGTTTGTAAAAAGTTAACCTGCGACAATCAGGCCAGGGCTGGGATGACTTCGACTTCGAGGAGTCCGCGCCCAAAGCGGCCGTGCCTCGCCCTGCCTTGGATTGCATTCATGCCCGATAAGAGAGCCCATGCAGGACAAGCTGTCAGAAAAGTGCCTTTCGTCACGAGGTTCCATAGCCAGAGGCTAATAGTCACTAGTCCGATGCCTGCCGGGAGCCAAGGAGCCCACAGTGACGGCGCCCAGGGCGATCCAAGAGCCGGCCGAGAGCGGAGGCCCCGAGCCGCGAGCAGTTCATTGCATGGCCTTTGCACACGAAGGCTGCGTTTGCGACGACCACGACTGCAACAGCAAGAACAACAGCAACCAGCAACCAGAAGAAGAGGAAGAAGAACAAGAAGAACCACAACAGCGTCGTCGTAGCGGGTGCGTCTGCCGCCGCGGGTGTGTCGTTTGTTTTCATACGATTTTTGCAGAGCGTTCTTTGTTCATGCCTCTGTTCTGTGAACTTAGGGTACGTTTTAAGGAAGTGTCGCAAATACCGTGGTTTCGGTCGTTTCGTTGCTTGATGATGTGTCGGCGCATTTTGAAAGTCTCTTTTTAATGGAGGGCCTGGGGTTCGAGATTCTTGTCATGCGACTCATCATGCGACCGTTGCAAAAACCACCCGCAATCTGTGTGATTTCGAGCAATGTTGCGTTTAATGTTCGGCGAAGGGGTGCAGGGTGACATGCTTAGCGAGACACACGAAGCCAACTGCAGGAGACATAAAGCCTATCTGGAGGGTATCTCATCATCGGAGTGACGTCATCCCAATTTGTCATTGTCATGCCATCGCCATCACTGGCACAGCAGTTGTCGCATCACCCCCCCCCCCCCCCCCCCCCCCATAACCGCAGTGCCATGGACGGCATCAATCCTCCCATCCCCCAACCCCCCCCCTGCAGGGAAGCACAAAGACACGGAACACTATTCGAGAGTTGCAGTCACGCAGGAGAAAAGCTATATAAACCAATGCACAAGTCACCTCGAAGACAAAAGCACACCGAATTCCAAGCAAAAACATGAATCGGAACAGGCCTGAATCACTGCACATGCGCTTGCAAAAGGCATGCAAGCGCGAATGTACTCGAGAAAGACATCGCGGGAAGCAGTGTAAACAGCCGATGCGAAAGCCATGTCGCACAAAAACCGTTTGAACTGCATTGTGCCAAACCGCTACGTAGTTTTGGCAATTTGGCACATCGTATGCATGCACCCGTCACGGCTGCACCCCCCCCCCTCGCCGACGACGACGCCGACCACAACAACGACAACGATAACGACACATTGTGAACAACATCACCTCTGCAGTTGCCAGTGTCCATGAACCTGCGGTGCAACTCGGTTATTAAGCTAGGGCGCTCCCGAGTAAGCTTCGTCCTTCTGAGCTGTTTGTTTTCGATACCGCCATGATCATTGACCTTCGTGAGCCAGCCAGAAGGCTGTGTGAGGTCATCTGGGCAAATTGTGCTGTTCCATTTGCCCCGTGCTGCTTCGCTACCCGGGCGCCGTGTGGCTGTGTTCAGGCGCGGATGGATGGGAAGACATGGACTTCGACATGAATGACACTAACACGACTGCTACAGAAGCTCGGTGTTCTTTGGTGGCCCTCGTTGCACTATAACACGAGGAATTAATGATCGTGACCCAGCATGTGCCCCATAGTCGTCGGGATGAGGTTTGGATCCTGAGTCATTTTGTGCCTTGCCGAGGCAAGCCGTGATGATTCATCGATGCAGGCGGTGTCCATGTTCTCTACAGCGATGGTCTCATTCAAGTTTCCTGTGCTTGTTGAATTGGAAAACTAGGCCTTTCGAGAGACGGAGCGGTAGCGAAACCGAGGCCACGAGGCTATTCGGAAGCTTGGCAGCTCTTGGCAGATGTGTGTCACGATCGATGCACGCTGATTTCTTTTCCGGTGGGCCAGGCAGGTGAGGCAGCTGTGCAAATCTTACTCCATCTAGTTGTCTCGCATCAGCAGACGCACTTCACAGAATTTCTCATGCACATATGATTTCGAAGATGGAGCCCTGGAACCGCTAGAGAGGAGGACACGGCTATCACTACAAACTTCATGATTTAAAGCTTTGTTAGAGCCACCACTCCGACTCTACTTCGAGGCACTGCCACGAGCATGGCTCAAGCAGCTCGTGCGGCAGCTGAGTCGACCTGGTCCTCCCATGAAGAAGCACGGCCCAAGGAAGGCAGGTATCGGTGTTTTAGGGCCTTTAGGGGTAGCTTAGGCTTCCAGACAGTAAAGTTTATTTCCTAAACTGGACCTCCAGTAAGAACAGTCAATTGCCCATACGGTTTTTAGGTTTTAAGATTTAGGGTTTTAAGGGCTTAAGATTTAGGATTGAGAGGTCAGCCAAATTTGTAAGACACTCCGAGACCCTGCGACTTAAGTAAGACCCCCAGAATCATATGCGCTGAAGGTGTCGCACAAATCATCTCATTTGCGGATGGCGATGCCGCAGGCGACGAAGCACTGCCGCACAACATGACAACGAGTGCTCTCAAGTGGAATCGGTTATGTGAATTTTTAATCAACGCCTGTTCAGGTGCAGCATCAGCTGCATCGCAGAAGCGCTTGGAAGAAGAGCTGGAGGCTTGCGATGGCAGGGCGAGGACCTTCAGGGACCTCGCGACCTTGAAGATCCAATATTATAGGGACCTTAATAATTACCAATACTAATTTATGGGGGTTCCCTTTTATAATCACAGTATAATGGGGCCCAAAACCCTATTCTGATTATTAAGGCCTCTATATTACTGAAGCTCATGTTTTGGCTTACGACCCTTCGTTGCGCAGGATCGTAATGTGAGCGTCTTGTTATCTCGCTGCATGTTGGGCAGGTGCTGAAAGCTCGACTGACAGTGGCGCAAGATCAGCTGAAGGCACCTGCTGGGGTGTCAATGCCATAGCCCAGCGCGAATAAACTTTAAGAGTCCGAAGTCAAACCCAAGCGCGAGACCTTATCAAAAGAACAGGGTGCATAAATAGTGTGAGGGTGAGTGCCGTCAAAAGAAAAGAATAGTTTCCCCCCTGTAGGGTCCCATTCTAGCACATCAGTCCTCACAACCCCACAAATTCCCCACATGATGCAGGCAGAGCGTGCTGCGCATTCGCAAAGTGCCGCGAAGGCACGGGTTGGACGGCAAAGGGATTGTCGTATCCAGGGGGTAGGCCACACGTGCCTGAAATCCCGGAGCATGGAACAAGGATCGACTAACATCGAGGAACCCTTGCGGAACAAGTCGCAGTGCGACAGCTCAAAGCCTAAGCCAAGCTGCAACTTCGCAACCGGCGATCTCCCAAGTCTGACAAAGCCAGAAAACAGCCGTGTTCAGGCCCTTAGTGGCGAGGTGGCTGCACTCTCCGAGGCTGCAACACTCTCTAGACTTGTTACAGTAATCACTTTTCAAAGCGAAGGTCTTGAAGAAGGTTGACTTTGAAAGTATCCGTGCTTACTTAAGAGATTTCAATCTGCGGGGTTTCGAGGTCGTGGGTTCAATGGCAAGAACTTTCCAATCTTCTAGTTTCTAGGTTTTCCTAGTACCAACTTCTTGGAACCGTGTCAATGAACTCATGAGCTGTTCTACCCAGGTCAGGTTGTGCTTCGGAAGGCCGCAAAATGTTGCATAGTCCGACATGCCTCGCGTCTGAACCCGGTAGCAATGTTTAGCTGTATGTCTCGCAGAAGATACCAACAGCCAGCAGCGATCATTGAAGACAGGTCGACACGGCGACTTGGCCGTTCAAAGTTACACTTGTCCACTGCATCTGCAAACTACCCGCACTCACTGTCGCTCTCTGCAGCTCCAAAGGCCCTCGTCCGCGAGAGACAGGAGTTCGAACGAGAGAAGGCCGCGCATGCGTCAGCACGAGTGTGACGAGTGTGGGGAGACGCGTTCAGTTGGCAGGTCCAGCTTAGCAAGCACCTCCGCGAAGCGATCTGCTCAGATGTCATTGAAATCAGCAGCACCTGGAAACCAGACTTGTTGTTGTTTCTTCAGCTTGGTCCTTGTAGCTTCCGGGGCTTAGTGGCTTCACAACGCCCCGAGGCGAAGGAAGACTTGCAGCAAGCTCCAGACGAGGCGGCTCACAAGTTTGTAGCGGCGGAGGCTGAAGCCTGAACTGGGATCCGAACCGAAATGCGGAAACGCACGCGAATCCTAGAGTCCTACAGTGGGATAATTACTCGCCCTCTACATCGACGCCACCTTCGGGGTTTAAAGTGAACTGGGGCACCGTGAAGCTCTGTTTGAGCTCAGGGCTCCCTCGGCCAGGGTAATTTGAACCTCAGTGAGATGATGGAGCTCCGTCGGCAGCGCGATCAGGCCTCGAGCTTCTCAGGTGATGGGCTTTCCGGGCGATTCTCAGATGGTTCCTTTTAGGCACCGTGACTGACAGGACCAAAGATCTTGGCTGCCATGGCAAGCACCCCCATTCGGACTGTCATGACGCGTGCATTTGTGCTGCTCTGGCTCAAGCACTGCCAGTAGTTTGGCTGACCACCGGAGCAGACGCTGAGGCTGCAGCGGGACGAGCTACGGTGAAGGTTGCAAAGCGATGCAAGGGGTTTACGATTGCTCCGAGACCAGAAGACTTCCAAGGTCCTGCCGTTAAGTAGAGTCCACAAGCTTTCGACGCAATTTCTCCAAACCTTGCATTTGCTGCAACCTGAGACTTGCCATCCCAACTTCAGCGACAATGCCCAGAAAGTCTGTGTGCCGGAGTACAACATCTAAAGCTGAACCGCACAGGCTCGCATGAACCTGGCGCCTGGATGTACAGGTTCCTTATTCTGGCGAATACCGCTCCGAGCTGCTCTGCTCGATCCAGGAATCTGCAGAGATTGAAAGTCTGATTGTGTTCGACAGGTGTGTGGCACTTTCAGAATATCACGAGCAGCTGAAGAAGTGGATTGACATGCGCGCGAATTGAATGTGTTTGTTATGTGCGCAGCACGAACACCACAGTGTATTGTTCAACGATGCCACCTGGCACAAAATATCGTATGCACCCACCCGTCCACCCATCCACGAAGCAAGGTCAAAAAGGTTAAAGGAACGAACCATTCTGTCGGTCGTTTTCGCATCCTTTGGAGTCACTGAGGCGAGCAGCTGAAGCTGATCGGTGGTGCCACGGCCGTAGGTGGCTGGGAATTGCCGAAGGCGGGGAGTTTAAGGGATCAAGGTTGGAGAGTGCTTGCCAAGGGTATGATGACCGCTCAGCTTAGCATAGTTTAGCTGACATTGCGAATGCCAAACCCCGAAATGCCAAACAAGCAAAGAAGCAACTTCTTGTGTCTTCTATTATCCACCCATGCATCCGTCTGTCTGAATGAATACCTACAAGCGAACCAAAAAGTAAATACGTGTACGTGCATACCGCGAGCAGTATCTCCCTGTCTTGTAGTATGATATAGTAGGGTATAACTTAACACGACAAGCCTCAATATGCATAACCATTATTTCTTACTCTTATAATATGTAGAGCATGACACAGCGAAGCATAATACAACGTGTATATATATAGCAGAAGGTATATATATATATACGTATATATACACACAGTATCATATAACATAACATAAACATGCATGTAGGCTTACACACAACACGTACCTACATAATTAGGTAGGTAGATACATATAGTTACTTAGTTGCATACATAGACACGTACACAGGTACATGCATAGGTAGGTGGGTAGACGAATACGGTTACATGCATAGAATTGCGTCGAGACTTAGGGGTACGTCCTGGATAGATAGATACGTACACATATGCATAAACACACATCCACATACCTACGTACATACATACACTACACGTACATATACATATACATACATGCATACAAACATACTTAAGCATACACAAATATGCACCTACATGCTTGCATAAATGCCTACATACGTACAAGCATACCTACGCACGTAATTACTTGTAGGTTCACATACATGTACATCCAGTTTTGCAACACATACGCACATGCCCATGCATGTACATGTACATATACATACACAAGCATGGGCTGTTCTTGCTCAGACTGCCTTCGCAGGCCATCGAGCTGTTGCCCGCCCATGGCGGGGCGGCGGATGAGCTCGGCTTGCGCCAGTGCGCCACACGATTACCGGCCCAACTGCCCGCATGCATGTCCATGTGCATGCACGTGTGGCTGTTGTTGTTGTTGTTGTTGTTGTTGTTCGCTCGTTTTGTTTGCGTATGCTGTGTTTGTAGATCTGTTTGGCCTGGTCCAGTGCGTCTTCGGCTCCGATCGTGGCACACCTTTCACATCCTTTCACATTCCCCACGAGTTGGCTTTCAGAGCGGTGTTGCTATTTTATGTACCGTTTCCAGCACCAATCGGCACGTAAGGTGGACGGCTACAGTCAACTTGAGCGACCACGGTCTCGTGGCTGCAACAAATGCATGCATTTATAAGGTCACATGAAGCGGGCCGTGCAGATGCATGAACGTTGCGAGTGCCTTGCAGCTTTCCGTTGCAGCCGCTGTCCCACTTTGCCAAGGCTATCGGTACTTCGAGCACCTTGCTCAGGATGAGAGGCCTCCAGCATTCTCCTGCCTAGAGAAAAACAAGCTGAGGTATAAGTACATCAAGCTGCGAGAGGACCGTGTTCAGATTGCGCCGACATTTCCAATGGATGCAGGGTTGAGCACTCCCGTTTGCCATGTGCAACCACGCCTGGTCACTGTCGCAAGCTGGCATTGAACAGTCACGAAGCTACTGTATCGCTTTCGGACCTTGAGGCAATTGCTTTCATTGTTGGATGTTGATGGCCTTGTGGTCCGATATATGCATCGCCAGTTGAGGAATGGTTTAAAGCATGCATGTGAAGGATCCCTCCCTTGCGCCCTACACACAGCGTACCGTCCGCAGAGCCAGCTGTGTACGTCGCAGCGAAACTATGCCTTGCAGTTTTGTAGGCAGCAGTGCTTTCAGCTAAGACTTAATCCGGCAAGCAGCGACAGCCAGCCAAGCAGTGTGGCAAACGAAACGAACTTAGCCCTTTCCAGCCGGCCACCCTTCAATACGAATCGTCTCAGCATATGCCGCCGAAAGCATGACAAAAATGATTTTCGAGTGTCGTTGACAGCAACCTGACGGCGCTCATGCCTGAACCATTCCAGCAGTCTTTATCAGTCTTGCGATGAAGATGGTTGAGTTCAGTGCGCTTCCCCTAGGCCCTATAGTATGACAACTGGTGATTGCTCAAGCCGATGAGTATACCTGAATCAATCGTCAAGTGGAGGATGGCGCAGTGGAGTGGGAGGATACGCCGTTCAATCGCAATCTCATGGCAGTGCCAGGCAAGTCTGACCGCGCGCTGTGGCTTGCATACCGCACATGACTGCATCATGCCAGTGCAATCTAGCGCAAGCTGCACAATTTCCTGCACCACTTACAGATCTTTCCTCAGGACGTGCCGTGCAGCTCCATGCTGCACTGTCTGTGCCATTGTGCATCACTACAGAAAGGACCCCCCATGCTATCACATGACTCCTTTCGCAGCAGGTGTCGACTTCGATGTTGACGACGGCTTCTCGGCTCTGTGTTGTACTGTCGTCACTTCTTGTGATTAATGGGGTTTGGCTCTGAGTTTTCCGAGCCTGAGCCAAGTAACAAGTAATCAAGCATCGAGTCCCACAGCTCATGCACATGATAAGACTGGAACATGGGCAGCATACACGGCTTGCTGCATATATATATATATATATACATATATATATATATATATATCAGCCGGCGAGATCTCAGGAGAGTACGGGAAGCTTCCACTGCCTCCCGACTTGTACCTTGGATTTTCAAGCGGAACCAGCGCGTTGCTGACAACAATCGCACTTGCCGTGTCGTCACGAGTGAAGTCCAAGGCCTGGCCCACGAAGCCCTCCGATCCCTCCGCCACAGACAGGCACGGAATGTCCTCATCTGATCTCATCTGCATTTTTGAGGACAGCGACATTGGCACATAGTCGCCTGACTTGAGTCTGGATTCCGGATGCTAGCCCAAACGGAATGACGATGTGTTCTCGGTCGTTTCTTCTGGACTCACAGCGGCCAGGCGGTTTGCGGGTTGCCATTTGTGGCAGCTCAGTTGCTGCAGGAGCCCACGCAGAGGAGGCGTGCGATGGTGGTGCCTTTTGCAGGGATAGACAGCTGTAGAAGTCGGCACCTCCTTCCTGACCGCGACGGTCATGCATAGAAATTCTGAATTGTTTATTCTCGTGCAGACAACGTGGTGGGCGATGGGGGGTGAGGCGATGTTTATTCTTTTGTATTCGTACCATGGCTTTTTTTGCCATCTTTGCACCAGAGTTTCAATCAAGACAAACATACTAGTGACGGTTGTTGCCATGTCAGGACCAAGGATGGGCCTGGCTCCTGGCAAAGAGCTTGGAGGCCCAGTTCGGCCATCAGCCGCTGTGCAGCGAAATCAGGATTCGATGGGCCAGGTTCTCTGTTGCTGTCGGTCAGTAGTACATCATTGCGCCGGCTTTTTGAGCACTTCGACCACCTGTGTAAGCGGACCACTTGCTACAAACCGAGGACGCTCAATGTCGCTGTGCATGGATCCTTGGGCAGAACTTGCGAAGGAGAACTTTCGACGGAGCTCAGCCTCTCTGGCATTTTGATGAAAAGAGAGACTGAGGCTACAACACTGAGCGTCTCCTGCAGGACTTCACGAGACACATGGCAGAAGTAACGCCTGTCGTGAACATGATGAGCATTGCTGGCAAATCTGCTACGGGTTTTCGGGCTGGTGCTACCAGCTTCTGCCCAATACAAGACAGCTTTGAGCATCGACTATCGATCAAGTCATCTTCCTTCTGACTATTGGAGCTAGGCAGTCTACCAGAAGGCATATTCGATTCATGTGTTTTGTCAGCTGCTGAGTGGGATGGCTTCTGATCGTGTTTGTGGAAGGGAATGCTCGACAATCTCCAGTTTCTGGTATTGGACACTTTCTTTATAAAGCTTGTAACATGCCACTATGTCTAGTGAACTCTCCAGAAGACTTTGCGCCTTTAGCCTGAGCTGCCGAGGATTGGTGGCCTCGCAGAAGCCAGACATCGAGCCCTGCAGCAAAGGGTTTCGAAGGATTCCGTTCGAAACTGCGGAGCGAAGGAGTCCACGAGTGAAGGGCAGTGACGGCACGATTTTGTGGCGCACTTAATTGTCTTACTAGGTGTTGTTTAGACAGCTGAGGTGGTGATCTCTCTGAGCTTGGCAAACGAAGGGCTCTCCTGGAAAGAGGAGGCCGAGTGGGATGCCGTTGCTGCCAGCTTCAAGAATGGCGTCCGAGCCTGTGCACGCAGCTATGATGGGCAACGTGTAGCATTGCAGAGTATGCTCCCAACAGCATTGCGCACTTGGCATGTGAAACTGCTGCCTCCCTGCACCGAGTTTGCAGTCACCCTCCGGGGGCCTAGCTGATGCCCGTGTGCTGCCAAGGAGAGTTGTTGCGAGAAACTGTAAAGATTGGAGCGACAGCGGTGCTTGGCGGAGTCTACCCAAACGGGGACTACAAGCACCCGAAACAACTGGTCCTGCTGCAGGCAGGGTGGTGACATGGAGAAGGGGATTTGCTCCGGTCAGGGAGTAGGGATGTCGCAGCCTTGCTCGCTGTTTCTCCGTTTCAGCCGACATGCAACTTGTGCACCTTAGACTTGACTAATCATTTTGTTCATCTACATATCGAAGCTTCATGCCACGTATGCTTCTGCACAATGCGCGGGGAACTGCACATGTGCAGGGTCTACTCGCTCCAACGAGTTCTTCTACTTTCAGCAATGCTACAGCATTTATCATGCACAGGGTTCAGTGGTAGGCTAGATAAAGCAAACCTACATACAGAGATGCATGCCAACTTCTCGGTCATCCTACGTGCATGAGGACGCACACGATTTTTGTGCGAAGCAGTCCGTCCCGATGCTGGACTGGCTGGGAGCATTGCACGATGGGCAGGGGAGGCACTGATCCCGGAGTTGATCGGTTCTGGGTTCGTGTAGAGCTGCTGTGGACTTGCCTGTGTGGAAACGTAGCCAACGCAGTTTTTGCAATCTTCGAGCTCGAGCTTTCCTTTTCGTGCGAGGTGGTTGGATGGCCTCATGCGAGACGCGAGCCATCCGAATTCAGTTGGGCATCTCAAGATGTTTGAAGCCATTGACCTTTCACTCTTCGACCCTCTCAAGCACAAGAGTCACAAGAGCTTGCTGCCTTGAAGCGAAAAAGGCCAGCAGGCATCTTGAGTCCCGCTGTCGAGGACCACCCTGCGCTATCCTGCGCTAGCGGCATCGCGTGATGATGTTATTATTATCATTTTTAGTTTTATCTTTACTCGCATTAAGTCTGCTCCACATGGCCAGGCTCGCAGTGTCGCCCAGTGCATTGCCAGGCAGGTGCAGCTGCCTCGGAGCCTCCGCGGTGTGCACGGTGTGCATTCCTGCCAAGCATGCCATGCGCTGCGACCAAAAACACCAACATCTGAAATGAGTCGGGTCGGACGCATGCGGCAGCATGAGGTGCTTGCGAGGACAAAGACTTGCACAACATGAAAAAGACTGCCCGATCTCAAACACGAGGTCTGTCCTGGCGGAAGAGCTGGCTGTCGTGCGAAGTAGCAGGGAGGCGCGGAATCTGTCAAGTTACCATGGTGTTTCGTGCATCTCCGAGAAATATTGAATCACGGACCGAAGCTGCCAGAGAAATCTGCATGAATTTGCATGTTAACTGCGTGTTGCATCAGTCCCCGATTCTCTCTCATGGCTTTCAGCAAGCAGGCTTTTTCCAGCGCGCTTCCCGATGTTAGTGCTCCTGAGCCGGAACAGACGCTGCTCCAGATGGATGCAGCTGAAGGCTCGCAGCGGAAATCGTCGCTGTTTGATTTGGGTTCGGTGCAGAAGATCCTCTAGACGCTAGAAAGTCTCAAATAGCCTCGCCGTTAGTTGGCCTGCGGTGGGTCTGCGGCAGTATCGTCTGACCGGGAGCGATTTTGCTGTCGCTGAGGCCGTTTGTCAAGCTTTGACGGTTGTTTGTCCAAAGTGCCTCTTCTAAGAAGCAGGTGACTGCCAGCAAATGCCCTGCACCACAGGAAGACCGGTCAGCACTTCCAACGGGCCTATGCCGGCAGGTGTGGGTGTATCTCACAGGGCGGCATGGCAGCACTCAGTAACACAAGCACTCTGCGCATCAGTTCGGAGGTAAGCTTAGTGGAGTTTGGTGGCTTAGGGCAACTTAGCGGCCTTTAAGACAAAAGAGGTTGAAGGCCCTGTGGCGGGTGTTCGAGGTAGTTCTTATGAAATTGCAGGCGACAAGCATTTTCGACGAGTTGCGTCCGAAGCTTATTCCCCGGTCCGGGCAGTGGCTTACCAAGGATCCAACCGAGGAGGGCGACGAAGGAAGTGCTCCACGCCCTCCAGTCGAGATCACCTCCGGATGGGACGCATCTGGGATGCAAGTATGCTTGTACTTCAGATGGAGGACACGTCCCTCCTGTGTCACTGCCTGGTTTCATGAGCTTTAGCGTCTCGAACCGACGCCACTGCTGCTGCTGCTGCACTTCCTCCTCCTCCTCCTCCTCACCCTACAACTGTTCATTTTGTCCCTATTAATGTCTTATCAATCAAGTATTTCTGGCATTGCAGGTGGTAATGCAGGTGCCGCAACGGCATGTGTGGTGGACCTGCTTGACACGATTCGGTGTTCCAAGTTTCAATAGCCGTTAGCAGATGCATGACCCGATATTGCAATTCGACCTTGGAGGTCTTCAATCCTGACGATCAGCCGCTTGGGTTTGCACGCAGTACAGGAAGTGGGGGCCTGGACAGTCTCAGCCTTCACCATGTAATCCTTTGTCGAGCACGAGTGACAAAAAATCCTTGTTTTGGCATTCACTACTCTGCTGAGCGCCGGACTTTCCCTCGGAGTGTACTTGGCATGCAAGGCTGGAGCACACCATCCCTACGGGAAGAACAGAGCCTGCGGCAAACACCCAGGATGGTCCCTTGGCAGATGTCCTAAAGTGCTGGAGCAGAATTATATGAATGGCTTACGGGCTACGTACAAGCCGGAAGTCTGTAGTGTGCATGATGCTCGTATTCAGCATGCCCTGGCCGAGGTTGGGGAGACTTCGATTTTGACGACCTGATGTGACGAGATGTGACGTAGACTCGACATTTTTCCAGCACAGGCAGGCCTCAGCCTGCTGCTTGGAGCCCACCCTGGCCGCGCGCAAGAAGGATCTTGGAATGGTGAGCCCAACACCACCGAAAGCCCGTCAGAAAAGAAGCCCCAAGGGCCGGGTTGGACTTATGTGGTGAAGAAGTCTTCCGGCAACTGCCAGCCAGAAATCCGGTGTGGACGAAATACGGTGCAGTCTGCTCAGTATGAATGCTTCATGGCTCGTTTCCTTTTTACGTTGCCTTCTTTGTGCCCTGTATTGGTTCCAACACCTGGCGAGGCACTTGAAAATGTGAGTGCCTGGCAGTGCCGAAGCAATTTGTTAATGCTGATGACTGATAGTGCATCAATCTCGCTTTTCCTGAGTCTGGGCAGGGACCGGGACCGGCAGCGATGGGGCTGGTCTGCATCCTGTTGACACTCTGTTTCCCATTCTCATAGTACAAGACGTTATTGCCACGATATGATGTGATATGATAGGGCATAGCAAAACACGGTGGTGGTTTTTGCTGTAAACGTGCTTACTGTAAGACTCTGTCGCCCTGGAAAGCATCACGTTAGCTAGCTGCAGTAAGAACACCGAGCACATCAGGGGAAAGCAGCGAGCACTCAAGCAACTGAGCCCCGGCTGGGTCGCATTTCCGAACGTCGGACTGTGTCAACACTAGAAACGGCAGTACATGGAACGCGGCTCATCGGGGGTAGTGTTTCTGGTTGGGGCAGTCGTAGTCGAAGTCGTCGTCGTCGTCGTTATTGTTCCTGATGGTGCTGTCGGGAAGGAGGTGCGACGTGCAGTTGCTAGTTCTTTTGGCACTGCTGCTGCTGCTGATGCTGATGCTGATGCTGCTGTTGCCGTTGCCGTTGCCGTTGGAGTTGCCGTTGCTGCTGCTGTTGTTGTTGTTGTTGTTGTTGTTGCCGCTGCCGTGTCCTTGTCGCCGTCGTTGTTTTCGTGTTCGTCGTCGCGTCCTCGTTCTCGTTCTGGTCGTTGTTGCGCTAGTGGTTGTTCTTGTTGCTGTTGCTGTCGTGGTTGTGGTTGTGGTGTTGTGGTGGCCATGGTCGTCGTCGTGGTGCTCCTGCATTGTTGCAGCTGCTGCTGTTATTATTGCCAATATTTGTTGATGATATGTGTCTTCTTGTTCTTGTCGTTGTCCTCGTTCTTGTTATTGACTCTGTCTTATGTTTGTCTTTGATGTTTTTGTTCCGTTGCTTCTGTTGCAACGACAAGTACAATGGCTACGACAGTGTCGTCGAATGAAGTATCGTCCTCACTCTTACCACTTCGACCCTTTCAGTGCAGTGCGTTTGGCATCGTCGATCAACGCCCCATCACAATCATCGCTACCAGTACAATACTGTGCATCGCTCCGTGATCTTCATAATGACCGCTACAGTACCTACAGTGCCACCAACTGAATAGTTCCATGGCCGTGCGTCCGGGGGATCACGGGGATTGCAAGAGTAAGCACAGCTTGAATGCCTTGCAAGCATATAACACATAATTCTCGAACGGTTTGGTCGAAGGGGTGCAGGGCTTCAGGTCAACGGCTGCCTAGTTCTCCAAAGAAAGGAGGGCATCTACGGACTCGTCTCACAGACTGCTCTAAGGCTCGGTTACTGGACCCGAGCATGCAGTTACAGTGGCATTCGGTTCGGCAAGATCGAAAACAGGCAAGACATGACCTTGGTCGTGGGGCCACTTTTGCACCAACACGACCTCAACGTCCAGCCATGCTGAGGTCGGAAAGTGGTGCTTCTAAAATGGAGGTGACACTTCGTGTTCGTGACTCAATCACCCGATTCAGCTGTCGAGCTGCTTCGGTCTTCCACTAGTCGTTTGCAACCTTTGCTATGCACTGCTCGGTGAGACCGCACTTGCGAAGAGAGCAACTGTGAACTCGTGCTTGCGGAGAGCCCAGACTCCGACACCTTGCGCCGAGGCCACGGATGACGACGAACAGGACATGTTCTAATGGGGATGAACTGCCCGTTCTAGTTCTAGCTCTGGTGCCGGCTTGAAAAATCCGTTGAATGCAAGGAGTTTGCCAGACATAGCTGCAGCAAGTAATGTGACTGCAAACATCTTCCTTTGCTTTGGAATCTAGGAATTTACATGATTTTCTTCGTACCTCACAGGGCATGTCCGGCCAGGCACTGGGAAGGGGAGAGGAGAGTAGTTTGCGGAGATGTTCACTCTTTAAAGCACAAGCCCCTAAGCCCTCAGCACCGAACAAGCCGGTTTCATCCCAGGAGCTACGGCGACACCGCGAGGCACTGCGCCGACAGCGTGCCGAACAGGACGAGGCGGAGCGACGAGCATGGGGTCAAGCTTGGTACCGGGAAGAGCCACTTGCGTCGGCCCTGAACTGGGGAGGAGATGTTAATCCGTGTGCATCATGCTCCTGACACTCAATACCCCGTGGTAGCGTGTGCCAGGCCAAGCACAGGGAGCGCGAGCAGGCGCGCTGCAGTGCAAGTTCCAGAACTGTTGATGGCTGGTGAATGGCCTGGTTGAGGCAAAGATCCGGCGTCAGCGAGAATGGGATGAGCGGCAGCGCAGAATAAAAGCGGACGGCACCCCAGGGCAATCCGCGCATAAATATTGTGGGACTTCTGGATTTCGTCTGCATCTGCTTGCCTTGAGGAAATTGAGCGAGACGAGCGGGAAGTGCCAAGCTCTAAGCAGTGCTGCCTGCGGCTGTCTTTCGGCATTGAGGGTTTCCGTTTGCATGTCTCCAGGCTGAGTTCGCGGGAAGCCGACAGAGTGACGCCCCCAACACTTTTGTTTGCAATGCACGTGGGAGCATGTCAATGCGGGGTAAAATCAGTTGCAAGATTCCGGAGCTCCTTTTATTTCTAATTTAGTGCTTAAAAGCATCGCTTGAACGGGGTTGGATTTCGATTTCGACTGTGCAGCTCAGGGCTTACCAGTATTAGTAAGGGTGCGACGACTTACCACTACCGCTACACCACCACCACGACGACGATAACTACTACCGCTCTGCTACTGCTGATGCTACTGCTGCTACTACTACTACTACTACTACTACTACTACTACACCACTACTACTACCACTACTACTACTACTACTACTACTACTACTACTACTACTACTACTACTACTACTACTACTACTACTACTACTGCTACTACTGCTACTACTGCTACTAGTGCTACTAGTGCTACTAGTGCTGCTACACTGCGACTGCGACTACTGCTGCTACCTTCTTGCTGTCAACCAGCATCGTGTCTTTGAACGCTGTGGCAAGTGTCGCTCTTCTTCTCACTTGCTAGTGTGCAGTATAGCAATACATCTACCACATTCTGAGCACGAGCTGCCATCTTCCCGCTGCTGTCACCGAAGTCTCTGTGACAGGTGAATCTCAAGCTGTGTCAGCGGGAGCTCAAGGCTGCAACGAAAATCCAGGCTCGCGCCTTGAGCGGGCACCGTTCCGACGATGCATAGAACTCAGGCTGCGAGGTCAGTTCAGGGATCGGGAGAAGCGCGGGGTCAGTCGCGAAGTGGGCGTGTCGATCTTTCTTGATATTCGTAGCTTCACTAAGAGATCTTCTAGCGGTTTGTTGCGCGGAGTTTCCATGGACGCAGTCAGCAGCTCGGCAGCCTGACAGGCTGTGGTTCGAGGTCGGCGCTCTCGAGCAGGTAGCCGCACGCGGAAACTCACTCTGTGAAGTCTTGAAAATCCTGCAGTCGTGCAGAACCAAAACGTCCGACCCGCCCAATTAGGCAAGCATATCGACTGTCCCGCAGCCCGGCCAGTTCTCCATGAGTCCCGGCTGCAGAACGATACTGGTGTTTCCAAGAGATATGACAATGAATGTGCACATGTCTCAGTGGCAGCTGTCGAAGCTGGTTCAACTATGTTGTTCGACTGCAACGCCAAGGCCGAACCCTTCATCGCAAGGGCAGTGGATCTGGAATAAGCGAGGTTCTCAGGGACTTGGACTTGCCTCACTTCCAGATTCCAGTTGCTTCATCAGGGAAATCAGTAGGAAAGCCACAGACAGGTATGGCAGCTGCTTCTGGCCTGGTCCACTCCCGGATGGCTCCTACCGAAAGGTAAGTACACAGCCTTGCAAATGCTCAAAAGTGGGATCTCAGATGTTGTTAGATCAGAATACCGCATATGGTGAACTGGCATGGAAAGATGCCACAGCAGTGCAGAAACGGGATCCCAAACGCTACATAGCTTTGGATCCTCCAAAGGGAGATCTGAGCAAGTCAGCAGAGGGCAGAGGGCAGAGAGCAAAGCAAGGCACCACAGGGATCCTGCTCCCAAGCAGTCCTCAGGCTCTGGACAAAGGCCTCCTTGCCTTCTGCGGAACATACGTGGAACAGGGGGAAAGAAACCTTTGCCAGCAAGTGGTGGCCAACGCTGCACTTCAGATCCGTGGCAATCCCACATACTCACACCAGAGACCGACACCATTTAGCCAGACTCGTAGCGATGCAGACCATGTGGACGCGCAGCGGCTTGCTGCAAAACCTCCTCTCCAAGCAAGGTCAACATGACTTGTTAGAGCTGCGCATGACAGCCGGCAAGGAGAAAAGTCAATTGTGAGGCTGCAGTTGCATGCGATACAGAGACGGTGGCTTCAAGAGTGTGGGAGGGGCTGTGTGCGCTTGCTGCAGCCATTCGTCGGATCGTGGATGTGCGACGACATGATCTGCAGCAGAGCCTGTGCAACTGATGCTTCCAGTTTCACATCATGGCAATGGAAGAAGACTATGATCAGACTAGACTCACCTGATAGGTACAACAGCAAAGCACCCAAAGCACTTCGTTTGTCGAGCTCAAGTTACTAACTGCTTTTGCGCATGACTCGTCGTCCCCAATGGTGGTAGATACTGCCGTGCAAGAGGTTTTGGACACGACGCTGCCTGCCTTGCACAGGCTGGTGCATGGGCAGGGTCAATCGGTCAACGGCCTGTCCAGGGCCAAGGAGGGCCAAAGGCTGACAACCGCTAACGGGCCCACTCAAACCGACCTGGCATGATGCGCCTACCTGTAGGATGCACGCAATCCGAGCTGCGACCTGCTGCAGGAGCTGCTTTTGCGACATCGATGTTGTTTCTTTGGCGTGACTTGCTGAGACATGCGGACACTCAAGCTTTGCCTGGAGGGTGGGGGCTGCACGATAAGCTAAGCAAGCTTAGCCTGCTGATTGTTCTCGGCCCGGCAGCACTGAATGGCACCGCGATCCTCAGGCAATCCTGCGAATCCCTGCGCACTGCTTGGGCAGACACGCTGCAGGAGCCATCGCCATGTGGCGGCTGCATGTGTCTCACTTCATTCATACAGGTAGCAAATTCACGTCGAAGCATGGTCTCTCAAAGAGGTTCGGATCAGGGTCGGGTTGATTCGGCGAGCATGCTGCCTCGCACAGGAGAGAAAGGCAGAGGCCATTGAGTCTTGGTCGCGATGTGCGAAAGTGCTTGATGACGGCAGCCACGCTAGTGCCGCCAAGCAACGAAGTGTTTTCTAGGAGCGGGAACAATGCAGCGCAGCTGAGGATGCTCATGCAGATGTGCTCCTTCATGCCAAGGCATAGCATCCTTGACCTGGATTCTGTGCATGTTCTAGATCCCGGAAGCTGTGTGCAACCGACTGTCGGCCTGGCTTGAATGGTGGTCTTTACCGCGTGATGGAAATTGAAGCTCGGTAGCTGCTTGCTTACACATGCTTTTAGTAGTTTGTGAAGGCAAGGGGTGCCAAGTTCGATTCCAAGCAGCTCAACTTCAAGACCCTTGTCACAAAGCAGCCACGTTGACCTGCGGCCTAAAGCAACCCCATGATGACAAATCTGTCTTCAATGAAAGGAAAAGCTTCTTGACGGACGATGAGCTTGCACCTGGGCCGCACAGCACCGCTTCGGCCCTGCATGGAGGTATGCAGTGGTCGGAATAGTTTCTGGATGTATGTAAGGAGATTCTTTGTTCGAGCGCAAAGCGGCTTGACGGCAGCAAGCTCACTGTGAAGATGGTTTCGACGTGTTTCAACATGCATCCAAGCCTGGCTACTTCTATAAATGCAGCATGTTCCCAAGATTGGACGGATCACGGTTTCGATGTAGGTGTAGCATTCTGAGATTATTAAGGCTGCAGGCCAGGGCTACCAAAATACCTATTTTTGCACAATATTTACATTGTTCGTGCTTGTTGGTCCTGCTTGTTTTTTGCATGTGGGTTTTCGTTTGCGTATTTTTGGCGTTTTTTTGAGCTGGACTCTGGGGCTCTGGTGCTTGCGGAAACCGGGCCTGGGGCGGACAAAATGCAGACACAATATCCAAATATAGGCAACCACACACTGTGTTTTGCATACTTTGGGGGTGCCGCGTCCCAACCGGTGGGTCAGGAAAGCCCTTAAAATATGCAGAACACAGTGTGCTTTGCATATTTGTTGCATGTGTTTTTGTTTGGGGTGTAGACGCAAGACAGCGGCAAAAGGCATGTTTTTGCACGTTTTTTGTGTGCACACGGCTGCCGCTAGGGCCTGCGGCTGAGCAAATGCAAAACACACACACACACACACACACACACTGTGATTTGCATGTTTTAGGGGCTTCCCTGGCCCAGGCCGGTTGGGGTGCGGCACCCCAAAAATATGCAAACCACAGAGTGTTTTGCATGTTTTTGCATTTTTCCTGCCCCAGCCCCGGTTTCCGCAAGCAGCAGAGCCCCAGAATCCAGCGCAAAAAAATCCAAAAATACGCAAACGAACAATAACATCAAATATATCAGCAAAACCAACATGCAAAAAAACAAGTGTATATATATATATATATATATATATGCAAAATCCATCAAGTCAGGCTTGAACAGTCCTTGTTTGCATGTGAACAACAGCCAAGGAGTGTAATTCAGGAGCAGGCAGTAGCACCTGTGCCAGGTTTTGCATCACGATGGCCTCAGTGGATGACTTCTGCATCAATGTGAACGAAGTCGGTGACAGAGGTTTGTCTGCTCTGGCGAGGGCATGCATGCTGCTCCCGTTCAGCTACTGGGCTGACATTGTCACGACCTTTCCTCAACATTTGCCAGTGAGCAACGGCGTGTCGCCGCTGAAGCTGCTCGCTTTGAAGCGCTCGGAGCAGATCGGAGAAGCAATGGAGCCGTAAGAGAAGGATTGATCTGATCCAGCATGGACCACCCGGGATACATAACGTCGGACACACCCTTCAGAAGAACAGTCTTCTGCACGATGTGCAGCAACTCCAACATGCTTTCGTTTCGAACTCAGGCCAGCTGACGGACTTCTTTGCGATCGTGGTGCGCTCAGCTTCTTCAGATTCTGCAGTATCGCTATGCCGCGGGCGTGCTTTTGACTGCACAGTAAGGGCGCAGGAGCCCTCTCAGATCCTTAAAGCATCCGTTGCGAGGACAACCATTTCGGGGACGCGGGCTTGTCGGCTTTCGCGGCTGCGGCTCGGAGTGGCGGCCTCCCTGCCTTGCGCCGGCTATACCTCTATTGCAACACGACAGGGAGAGCTCAAGCCAAGCGCCCAGTAAAGGAAAGCTCGGGCATTCGTTGTTGCCGTACGATTATCCAGTGCCAGCGCGTCTGACAGATGCCGACTCCAACTAGTCCGCGCTACCAGCAGTGTTCTGCGATCAGAGATCGCATATAACCGAGGCAACAGTATTGGTGATGCTGCTTGGAAGAACGAGTTCTGAGTCTGTTGAGCTGATGGGTTTGCCGGCGCAAGGATCGACTCCTCTGCAGACCCCTTGAAGCTGTCTTCGCACCCCCAGCCTTTTACAGTGCGATACAAGACGTGTGAGTGAAGTAAAAAACTATCTCCAATCAATACGCAAACGCTACACAAACCGAAAACCAACATTAACACACCCAAACCAGCATGACAAAACAAAAAACCACAAATGTAGCTTGTATTTCAGGGCTCTGGGTATTAAAGACTTTCTGAAATAGTGCGTCGCTTTTGGTTGGAATTGTAATGTAGTGGTGTGTTGTGTTTGCAAGATTGGTGTTGGCGTTTTGTAGTATTGGTGTGCGCGTGTGCGTGTTTAATATGGTCGAGTGGCTTTTCCCGTGTTAGGCATTGACTTCTGTTGCGCTGTTCTTCGTGGATGCTTGGAACGGCACTGTTTTCTTCGCTATAAAGCAGAAACGTGGCGGACAGGTTGCTCTCGGGTCCAGGGCCCCTTATTACACCACCACCACCACCACTGCAATGGTATCCACTCCCCCGGCCCACCAGCTCAGCAATCCTAGTATCAGTCGTCATTTTCGGAAGATGGTGTCGTCACGGCGAGCCTCAACAAACCCATGCAAGCCACAGGAAGGGAGGACGACTGAGGCGACGTGTGAACTGCAACGATCCGCGGCGCGACAGCCAGCGCTTCTGCACAGAGGGTAGAACTGCATCCAAGCAGGGACAAGGGCACCATTTGCAAGGAGAAAACACACATACCTATGTATGTAGTGTATATATATATATATATATACATACATATATATATACACACATATACATACATATATATATATATAAACACACTCGCACCTAATCCATATCGTGCATGTATGCAATTTCCCGAGCCGGGCCCCAATACCCTGAGACTGACTGGCATCCCAGGCCGGCCTCATCGCCTTGGCCGATGCCATCCAGCACCAGGTAGCATGGGGTTGGCATGACCGATGATGGGTTACTATGGGGGCATTAATCATTACTCATAATATTGTGGTTTGTTCCTTGATAAAGTATAGTATAATGGGCCCCAAAACCCTATTCTAATGAGGCCCCTGTATTACCGGGTCAGATCTAGAGTGAAGATACCTTGTTCAGTCATGGCTCCTTGCTAAACCTACTGCCACTTTTTCATGGTGAACATCATGAACAGTCATCGTGACGACTGCGGTTGTCGCTGTACTTGTTTACTACGATGTTCCAATCCCGCCAGAGAGCTGAGGCCTTTGCGCCGGAAGGCCTCAGCAGCCTGTTGGTGCTTCGGCTGCACAGTCACAGGGGAATCCGACTGACATGCCCTGGTTCTGTATCATCGGTAAAGCTGGGGCAAAGTTCAGAGCTGACACGAGAACGGATCTCAACCTCGAAGTCTAGTCTAAGCGTTTTGCAGCGCGACACCGGGCTCCAAAACAAACGCCCCAAAGCAGCAGGTGATGGACAACGACATCTCGGATGAAGGCGGGCAAATCCTAGGGCATTGTAGTATAGCGAATGCCAAGATTCAGAGATGTGCTTTGGACGAGGAGCAGGATCCGTCTACCGTAAGTGTTGCGCTGCTGTCGACAAGGGGCGGAGACGCAGCAGAGGGGCTTCGTGTTCCATGTCACTGTGCAGTCTGAAGCCTGCTGTCGAGAGGCGTCCGAAGCCTCGAGGTTCCGTTGACGAACGGAAGGCCTCTTGGCTGTTATCTGCACGCGTCGAAAAAACACAACCTTGCTGGTCCTCGTGTGTGTGGTCGGCCCGTTGAGGCTGGCGAAAATGGAGGAGCTTGGGGTGGGGCAGCGGGTCAGCGATGAAGGCGCACTCATGTGCACCTCATGTTCTGCACCGGGGGCATGCAACCATTCGAGGGCATGCTCGGTACTTTCTTTGGGGTTGGGTTGCTGTCGGCCCCATCCGCCGGGTTTCTCACATTGCCGGATTTCAAGGAGGAGTACTTCTTGTATGGGTGTCCGAAAGGGCGAAGATGAAACTATTGCAACTCTTGCGCTTTGACTCTGCGAGCATGGGGTCATTGTGGGTGTCATAAGCTGGGATAGTTTCAGCTTGCATTGATTCTTGCCTTCCATACGGGACCGGCCGAAGGCTTCCAGTTGCTGATCGACGCCGCGATGAGCTTTCAGCTCCCAGACCTGCGGGAGATTGTGGGTCTGGGTGGAATGGCGAGCAGAAACTGCGCTTGCCGTCACATGTTTCCCGCCGAATCAACGTTCAGCCGCACCATCATCTACAAATCAGATCGGGAGTACAGGATACAGGTTTACACTGTTTACACATGGCCGGAGCTGCTGTGGATCCGTGCACTGTCCGTCGTGTTGGGCATGAAACAGTTGCCCTTGAAAGCACAACCAAGCTTTCTCACGCCACCTTATTCATCCGTGCCTTTCGGAGGAGCTGCATCTTCAGAACAATGTGGCCATCCGTGGCAAGCCTTTGCAGCAACTGATAGCAGCGATTCAGAAGGGCGATGTCCCCCGTAACTTGGCCTGTATAATTTCATGGCGCCATGTTGCCACTCGAGCATGTGTTGATATTCTTGCACCCCTTGTGCCCAGTGCTCATGTTCATCCGATGGAGCTGTCATGTCAAGAAAAGGCCAATTGGTTAGGTGTAATGTCCCGAGCCTCTGGTTCCTCAAGCTCAGGCTTGAAGCAGGTTTGGCTGGCACCTGGGCAAAACGTAGAAAGTGCGCACAGCTTTGAGCCAGGGTGCATTGCCCCTGCCTGAGGAAAACACGGGAACAAGCCACTCGGCTGCAGCTCTGGATGTCAACCGACATCAACAAGCTGCTGTAGTCTTTCGGGCGGCGACATGTCAGACAAAGATTGTCAAAGTTTCTGATGCGTCAGCAGGCAGCAAGCTGCGGCGAGCCCTGCTGAGCGAACTTGAGTCTGAGACCGACCGCATCAGCTGAAAAAGCCCCGCGCTTTTGGTGGGATCCGCTCGCAGAATTTCGGGCTCCTCGTAGAGGTTGCGACCTGCTCCTTTCAGAGATGTCCAGCAGTTGACCATGCATACTTCAGGTTCTCAGGGGCGGCAGACCTCCGTGGGAATGTCAGGAATATCCCAATGTTCCCTCTGCGGCTGATAGAGTCGTACGGGTTCCCGTCCATGTCTCCGGTTGTTTCCAGACTGGTCCATGGCCGCATGGCAGCTATAGGTAACCCGTATTTCACGTTGATCTCCGGTGGCTTGGAGAGATCTTGTCCGGCCATTTTTGGGGATTTGTTGCACAGCAGATGTGTGGCGCTGAGCCTAAGCAAACCGACCGAAATTCATAGATTTGGCATTCGAAGAGCTTGTTTTCTGAAGGTCCCAGGCTCGACTGTCCTGGTCTAAGCCCTTCCCGTTGTCGTGACCCCATCATTTCAACGAAGCTCCCCGACCTAGCCCCCCATTCGTGAAACATTCGCATTGATGGTTTTGAAGAAAGCCAGAGCTGGTCTGCGCCGGCTTGCACGCAGGCAGCGACTTGAATGTCCGCCCACCGGGCTCACTCCCGCAGCCCGTCGCAGCTCCTTTAATTTGAAATGCTGTAGTTTCTGGATTCTGGGTCTCTGGAAGATGGCGGAGGCTGACGAAGAGGCTGCTCCTCAAGGCTCCTGTGAAGCAATAGGAGCTGCCTTTCTTGCTCTAGATGCGTCGGAATTCAGCCTTTAAAGGGCCAAGCTTGTTTTCTTCTAGTGAAACAGCACAAAGTCGGACTAGTCGGACTCGGAATGAGCTTCCTGAGCCTCGGCTTCTATACAGCATAGATCGAAGGTACTCAACCAATTCCCATGGCCAGCAGATGCTCCAACGTCCAGCATCCCAGGTGACGAGCCAGAGGTTGAGGGAGAATACGTTACAGTAGAGGCGGGGCTTCCGAAATTGTGTCTCTTGTACCGAACGGTTGAGAGCTTCTCCCCTCGAGGGTCTTAGTCTTGATGCGTGAGAATTGTCTCATTCATGATGGCGTAGCTGTGTGCACAGACAACAATCGGTTTGTTAATGTCAAACGACTCCCCCCCCTCCTTGTCTCGGCGATGCAGGAGTTTGACCCAGATCCAGCCGGTGGTGATGAAGCTGTAGGGGATGACCCAGCGGCTGCAGCAGATGATCAAGCTGCCGGTGATGATCAAGCGGCAGCAGACGACGCCGCGGATGAACAACCGGCAGCAGGTGATGATCAAGCTCTCGGAGACGATGAGGCTGTGGCAGCAGATGACCAAGCTGCTGCAGCAGATGATGCTGCTGCAGCAGGAGATGATCAAGCCGCGTTAGATGAACCTGCGGCAGCGGCAGATGAGCCTGCGGAAGACGCTGAGGCCATATGTGTTGCGGCACGGGTGCGCTTTGCCGTGCCAATGTGATTCACTCTGTGGAACTTTTTGTGTCAGGACACTCTTGCCAGTTCTGCTGGCAGAGCAAATGATCAACCGCCAGCTGAGTCTGAGCAAGCCGCAGCTGAGGCTGGTGAACACGAGTTGCATCCGAAACACGAGCATCCTCCAACCCGCCGACAAGAACGTAAGTGCAGCAAGCACCGGCTGCCACAACATTTGATGGGCTGAGTCATGAGCGATCTGATCCACGTAGGCAGAGACTTGGAACTTTGAGCCAGTAGATTTGGGCTCCAAGGCTCTTTTGGCCACCATACTACCTTCATTAGCATGCTCCATGTCTTACTCTTGACCCCGTTCCATGCGTGCTGGATATTTAGGATTGTGTTGCTTGTTCCGGCTCTTTCAGAGAATTAAAGGCGCTTGCGCAGTCCAGAAGCATGGCACAGAGACATCTTCGGGGCGGCCATATCCTGCTTGAAATACGTGGACCCTACCGCAGCCTGAAAAATCTGGTGCACAGGAGGAGGAAGAAGAAGAACCTCCAGAAGAGGCAGGCCCCGAGGAAGCAGGAGAAGAAGAGCCAGGCACTGGATTGACGATCCGCAACATATGCAAATATGGACGTGTGTAGTTGTGTACATAGCTGCTATTTCGTTCATGTGCAGATGTATATATATATATATATATATATATATATACACGCATGTGAGTATGCGCCTGCATACATCATGGTTGTGTTGCGGGTTGTGTGGCTTGTCATGTTTATTCCCTGCTGTTCCGTTCGAAGCTTAGTATACCAACGGGGTATACCACCGTATTAATTAGTGATGCTCACTCCGGCCGGTGGGTTAAAAACTGAACGAGTTCATACTTCGAGGTGACGAGGAGGACGAGGGTGAAGCCGAGCTGGAGAGTGGTGATCTCGGTTCTTGGATGTTCACCCCTAAACCCTAGGGTTTAGGGTTTAGGGTTCAAGGTTGGGATGTGCAGAGTATGTGCAGAATGCCAGAGGGAGTCAAGTTTGGGCATGACTCTGGGAGCTAGCTTTTGCATTCAAAACCCTGAATCAAATCTTGTGCAAACCTAGGACAGATGCATGAGGACGAGGAGGAGGAGGGCGAGCCCGTTGAGGTGCCATTTAGCACAAGCGGCTGCGCCCGTCTTTTCAGCTTCAATTTCAATGCATATCTATGTGTCAAATTTATATATACATATATACACACACACACATAGTTCTCAAGCAAAAGCATATCTTGTCTTTAGACTCGGCGCTTCTTTTCTGACTAATAGACATTGTACCGTAGCATGTGGAACTTCGCTGTGGCTAACTACGGCAGCGTCCCCCCATCCAGGAAGGTCCAGATCCGATGGTCGAACTGCAGGCACGGAGTGAGACACGTATTGTCTAGGCTACTTGCGGCTTATAGGGCCGTTTTCTGGCTGTTTATGTCAAGGATTCTGGAATTGAGGATGTCCAGGGGTCCTGCAGTTTCGGAAGCTCACTTACCTCGGAGGGTTTTGATTTTATGCTCGATGGTCCAGAGACCCGGATGTTATCATGTTATCATCTCCAGACCTGTCAGAAGGTGATGCTTGTCACATTGCTTGAAATTCCCGAAGGAGAAGCTTGCCCAGCTCCTGGACCAGAATGATCGCCTCAAGGGCAAAAATGTTGAGACCTCAGCAAGCAAATGAGCATGACAGCAAGTGGCAGATTCACATACATACATACACACAGACCCCTAGAGGGACAGTGAATTAGACGGTAGGTATGGCAGAATACCCGCACAACAGTGGTTTGTGGCAGTGTGTAATGCAAGCTCTGGTGCTGAAGCGATGCGCATTTTTACCCCTTCCCATCTTGGAGAAGCTACATTGCGTGCCCGACATGTTTGTCTCCAAGATCAGTCCACTTCCCTTTCCCAGACAACGCTCGACTCAAAGTGTCGCCTTGTCCAGGGCCCCGAACGCACCTCCGTAGGCATGGGCCAAGATGAACGAAATCTGTGCAAGCCGTCAGGGTTGATGATTACGAGCCTTGCTAAGTGTGTGGCGAAGTCGGCACCTACGAGAGAACTACAATCCCTCAGGGCGCGCTCCAGCGTGCGGTGATCAACCGACGAGCGCGAGATAAGTCCTACGATGCTTCGGAGAAGCAGCAGCGACCTCGGTGCTTGAAGGTCTTTGCAAGACGGCACTTTGCAGCTCACGGCCCTTCAATGTGTCAGGTCGGAAGGCAAGGTCACCGAGCACAAGTACCAGAATGTCAGACCCTCAGAGATGGTCCAGTAGAATGGAAGCTTCGAGAACTCGGGCCCGGGCTTCTGTTGCAAAGCAGAGCCCTCGCAGCGCCTCAGATGTTGAACAACGTGCACTCCGAGCGCATGAAGCTGCGTTTGCAGCAAGTCATGGCTGCACGGACCTCGGTGTAGAAGTTCACATAGCAGTTTTTCTAAGAAGCTTTTTGTGCCCTCCCACTTTGAAGCCGCATGCTTCAGCAGCTCCTGGCAGACATGTGGAGATTTGAAGCACAGGGCATCGGATCTCTAACGAGGCCATGCCCAGTTGACCCCTCCAAGCACCCAGCACCTCTAGGACATTTCGCAAACCTCCTGAGGCGCGCATGAGCGACGAGCTTAAGCCAGGCTCCCAGAAAGGCAGCCACTGTTGTTTCCAGAATGTTGGTGCTCGATTGGGTGCCGAGGTTGGGGCACTCTGCAGAAACCTGTGAAGTTGAACGACATCGTTTGCAGGTAGTGGTGTTGGTAGTAGAAAATCCAAAGCGCAGCCATGGTAACGATGACTAGAGGGAAAATGGTGCCTACTACAAAGGCTACAAATACGAAGAATAGTGTAGTTGGTGACTTTATGCTTAGCATGCGCAACACAATGACTCATAGAGGCTTCGGTCTCGTGTGTCTGTGTGTGTGTATGTTTAATACGCATCATTAGATATGCAAGTATCTATCCCTCCATCTCTCCCTCTCTCTCTCTCTTTCTCTCGCTGGTCTGCTTCCTGAGGAATCAGCTCGAAGCGAAGCGGCAGAAGGCCATCGAGCATGCGGCTCAGAAGCGCCTGCAGTCCGGCTTTCTGACTGGGTTCAGGGTCTACGCTGCCGGAAGGAGATGCTACGAATTGCGATGGAACGAATTTTTTTCGCACTTTGCTGTCATGATAATCTCAGCAGGACTTCCCCTTGTTGGGCAAGAGGTCGTTGTAAGCTTGCCGGCATGTGGAAATTCTGAATCTGAGTTACCAGTTTAGTTTGGTTGTCGGGTTTGGTTGAAGCCCACATGCCGCTGTCTCAGGTGCCGAGACTCCTTCCAGGAGTTCAAGCGACAGATCGCGAGACACGCCGAATATGCCCGCCGGGAGCCTCAAAGTGGACGCATGTGGCTTCCTGAACAACGACTAATATACACACCCTCCCGCGGGGATGCCTGCCCACTACAAAGCAATGATCAATACACGGACGACCTATGCTTGGGCGTTTGCATCGTGGTGAACGGTCCCGGACCGGAAATGGGACAGTCGCTTCGTGACACCCCTGACAGATGAGGCACAGGCAAAAAGATCCAGGAAAAGATCATTCAGGACACTTCATCCGTGGGTGCCCGGCATCCGGAAGCTTCGAACCGTGCTCAGCCATAGCATATCTCTATACCGGCAGGAAGTAGAGGAGTTCGAGCTGGACAAGGATGCGGAGGTGGTTTCGTTTCGGTACGCATACATGTGTCCTTCATCCCCGGATCCAGCCTTGCTTGTTGTCGACTCTTGCTGTCACGGGCCACATTGCAAGTGTTCTGTTGCATTACGAATTACGACCGTCTCAGCCCAGTCTCATTTGATGCTGATTGCACGAACTCGCACCTGCTGCATGTACTGCAACATCCCCCTCGGCAGTAGGTTCTCACGCAGCCCATTTGCAGCTCTCATTGAGAACTTTGCGCACTGAACAGGTGGAGGAAGTTCGCGGTTCCAACATCTCGCTAAAGACCCTCGGAACGCACGACATTCGCAAACGTGAGTAAGTTGTAGGAGTGTGCGTGCAAGAGGTTTGTGTGTCCAGATGGCATGATGCATGCCAAATCGAACTGTATTTTGCTGGAGTGTATGCGCTGATAGGCCAAGCAGACGTACAAACTTGAATACTTGCACATACATACGCACATGGACGTACACACACGTTTCATCAACATCACTGTTATCGCCACCATCTGCTTGCATGCACCTGCATACCGCATGTATACATACATGTTTGTTTGTATGTGCGTAATTACGTATGTATTTGTGCATGTGTGTGGGTTGATGATGCATGGATGCATGTCTATGCACAACTTCAAGCTCACCTCGCATACGCAGACACACACACACATACACGCAAAAAGCAAAGCAAGGAGGGAGAATGGGGAGAAAACAATGAAGGAACGCGTATGGAGCAGCCTCAGGTCTCCCGCTGTCGTTTAATGAGTGGTAAGCCGCGAGCCTTGGGTTGTGTCGCCCTTGCTAAGGAATCGACTTGCAAAGCTCGAACAAGCTCTCCGAAATAAAGACGAGCTCCTTGGAGCAGAAGTGCAAGCAGCACACGCCTTGTACATGGCAGCCTGCAAAGTTTTTTTTATCATCTTGCGAAATCGGTCGAGGCTTGCAGAAAACCTGCATGTCATTGATTTCGAGCAGCTGAAAATTGAAAACCAGCAGCTCAATGCCGGCGGCTCAGCTTGTCATGATATCGCACCGCGGGCAAATCCAATATTTTGGGTTTGTAATGCAGGAGAAAATAGAAGAACGAAACGAAGAGCTGCACAAGTGGGAGCCTCAACAGGGGTCACGTCGCTGCAAGGAACTGGAAGGACGTTCTAGAATTCTGAAGAGGGCCCCCATGTCCGTCGTATGAGCCCATGTTGAGCATTCTCTCTCGGATGCCCCTCAACTTTGTGCCACCGAGGTTGCGCAAGAAGACCGTCGTAACTGTGCAGATCATTACGCACATGCGAGAGAAGGCAATGAGATGTCGCCGGCAGAAGGCTGAAAGACGCAAGGGCTGCTTGCTGGAATTCCATAAGTGCAGGTGCAGTTTGTCCAAAAGGAGTACCAGGAAACGAAGGAGAAGTTGGCAACGCTGGGCGCTGAGCCTCCCGATGGTGTTTGCAGGCAAAGCCTGCTCCTTTGCAGCGCAGAAAACACCCGGCTTTCGACACTCCGGCTTCGACTGTGCACGATAATGAAGCTGCTCTGTCTCAAAGCAGGACACAGGACCCTTTCACCAAGGAGCTTCTAGTCGCGAATGTTTGGCTGCGTCCCTGTGCATCAAGAGTCCATGGGCTGGCTGTCGGTGTGCCAGAAAGTTAAACTGTTTCGCTCCAAATACTGCAGAAATGGAGCCGGTCGGTAGAGACTCCAACATGGTTCAGCTGCATTCTTGGAGTGCGACTTGTTGGTTGAAGCGCGAATGCCAATGAGGTTGGATCAAGATCTCGGTGCGCAGCGCGATCTGGTCACCAAGACGAAGCATGAGCGCGATGAGCACAGGCCCGGAACCTTTTCCGGAACTAACCTCAGCGTAGAAAGTTTTGTGATAAGGATCGAATACAATAGGATCCAGTACATTGTTTTCCCTCAACGTCCCGTCTGCCCCCATAGCTCCGAGCTTCTTTTCACTGCACCTGTCAAGTCCGAGTCGACTGGCAGGCAAGAGTATGCCGCTCTGAAGCAGCAGACTGGCATCATGAATTCTGAGCACCTTACGAAAGATTTCAAGGACAGCAGCGAGAAGTCCAGATGATGTGACTGTGGTTCCTGGGGCCGTGGTACTTTGTCGAATGCTTGAGCTGTGCAACTTGGGTTGTTCTTGCGAAGGACCGTGCAGATCGCATCAAGGAGCTCAAGGCCAGGCACTGGCGGCACTGGTGCCTTTGCTTGGGAATGCAGTTGTACTGGGTGCTGAGGACCAAATCACTCAGCTCAAAAAGCGCCACGGTCAAATGTCCCAGCTGGCATCTCAGATGTTATGTCTGTAGCAGGTATGCCTGTGTGTCCATCCGCTGATCACGCTGACTGGTATGGTAACAACCACAGGCTATTGCTTTGTGTAGTCTTAAGCATGCTAAGCTGCTACGCTCGCACGAGAATAGGAGTTTTGAGCCGCCAGACGAAGAAGCATCGTCGCCACGTGAGAACTTGCATGCCCGCAACGTAAGAAGGCTCTGCTAAAGACCTCTGAACTAGTCTGAAAGGACCAGGCCCGGTCTGCGCCAACTTCAATCGAGTCTTCGTGACGCAGGGCGCACAAAATCCAAAACTGCAGTTGCTAAGCTTTTTGAGTGTGCCTATATACACTTGTACTCAAAAAACTGTTACACGTCTGTGGCCCGAGTCCTGCAGTCGCAAGGTTCATCAAGGCACATGGCGGCAAGATCTGAGGCAAGGCTCAGAGGCGCCCCAGGGCAGCGCAGCTCGAGTGGCAGATGCAACAGGATAACAAGCATCCAGATAGAATAGATCTACCAGAGATCCTTAAGTTGCTATGCGAAGAAGCCTCGTAGGATCGGACCAAAACAACTCAACAAGAACGACCGTGTAAATGCCGAGCACATCGCCTGGAGTCGTGGGTACTTCCGGCATCACGTAAGTCCCGTAGAGAACGTGAATCTTACCGATATAGGAGGAAACCATGGACGTCTCACCTTGTGCATTTGCAGCCCGGCGATCTATGTCACGCCTTGGCGGTTTCAGCATGACGAGCTATGTTTGAAACTGGTCGTCTATCATGCATCTTGCACACCTTGATTGGCAGATCACTGCCACCATGTTTCATGCACGCGGGCTCCATGCATGCAGTCGCATTGAAGAAGTGGTCCGAAATTAGGAACTCAGCCCGATACTATGATTTACAATTTACAAGCTCTTCGTGGCATCATTTGTCAAATGCCCACTGCACGGCACTGCGGCCTATGATGTTTCACAGCGCTGAATTCCAGCGAAGATTGCGATTGTCTAGATCGCTAGGAGAAATGACCCGTTGCCTTCCGAGGTTGCAGTGGAGCGGTAGTCTGGCTTTGCTGCGCAGCCTACTTTTCATGTCTTGTTTCAAGCAGGGAAGTCGGACCGAAAGTAGACTAAGGGATGCCGCGCAACTAAGTTTGAGTTCTGTGGCTGGGGACATTTTGCGGCTTGTGCTTGTGCAAGAGGTCTCACCCTTATCACACTTCCGATAGCAGCAACTTGGAGACACGAGGGAGGGAGGCCGGAACAGCGACGCATCGGAGTATTGGCGGGCCTCCTGCAGGATCGTGGGTGGTCAGAACATCTCATAATGACTCATACGAACGCCAGAAAGCACCTGATCGTTGTCGCTGCCATCGCTTCGAGTGGTCCTCTCTGCATATCTATTTCCTCGCTGCACCTGAAGCAGGCACTTTGCAGCGTTTTCTCAGAGTAGGCACTAGCCGGTACAGGTGCTCAGGAGCGATGGGCCTTCGTGTCCGGCTTGAGAGCTTTGGCCAGAGGTTTCATTAAGCTACTGGCTAGAAGTAGTGCCAACCTTGCTGGCTACTAGCATGACTACCATTCATACTCCTACCACTACTACCACTACCACTACCATTCCCACTCCCACTACTACTACTACTACTAATAATAGTAATAATTACTACTACTGCTACTTCTTCTTCTTCTTCTACTACTACTACTGCTACTACTACTACTACCAGCCGTCGTGGTAGCAGCAGCAGAAGGAGCAGCAGTAGTGGCAGCGGTAGCAGAAGAAGCAGCAGTAGCAGTAGCAGCAGTAGCAGTGTCAGGCCATAGGCCGTAGCATGACAGATGATGGAGAATCGTTGACGCGGCAGCGCCATGTGAGATGGCAGGACCTTGCTTTGAGCGTCAGGTTTGTCGACTCTGTGGCTTAGTGTTTATCTGACGGAGCACACACAGCAACAAGCTAGGTAAAGTATTCACCCAACCTTGGAATCTCGCAGAGGATGGCGGCAACAGATTCTGCGGAAGCTGAACCTTCCTAAAACCGTGCGAGGCAAACGCAACTTCTCAACAACCGGGTTATTCTTTGTGCGGACGGATGCACTAATGAGCCACTAGTCTCATTTAACGAGCAGCTTGATGAGCACGCGACGATATAGTCAGCATTCAGAACATAGAGACATAAATAAATAAATATATATATATATATAGATATATAGACACATACATTGGTCTAAGAACAAGTATTGCGCTATTGCTTTATTTCTCAACCAGTTTGGTCACGCTACGGAGTTCCTACGTTCATTGTACAAGGATTCGCTTAGTTTTGGTGCAAGGCGCGCCCGGTCGGCGCAGTTGATGGTTCCGTAGGTCGCAGGTCGACCTGTAAGATTCTGTAGTGCGGCGCACAGTTAGCACGACAGTTGCCCTGTTTCCACAGCCCTGCTCGGACCAATGCACAGATCATAATCTACTTTTCCGATCATGATACCTTTCTGCCACAATCCTACACACCGTCGTCGCTTAGTGTTCTCGCCGCACAGTACGGTGCCAGGCTCATTTTTAGGCTCATGGAGTGGTCTTGCGTGGTGGAGGGCTTTCACTGCTTGGGGTCTATGTTGGGAATTGGCGCAATGCGATTGCGCACTATAGAAAACTGATGCATGTTTCTGCATTTCAAGCTCCGCCCCCCTCCCCTTCCCATACAGGTTGCGCACAATCAACAACGACCATGACTAGGTCTATAGGTGCCAAAACACCCATACCAACAGTCATAGCAATTCGCGTCGCTGCCTGCTTGAACCAGAAACTCGTTCTGGACCCAAGGCGGCTGTAGGAACACGTTCCATGTACAAACATGCCCGACCGTGACCCTAAAGTGAGGACTTGCGCGGGAGCGGCTCCGATTGCAGTTTGGATACGGATGGGCAGCGGGCCCCTTTGTGCATTCATTGGAGTTACACTACGGTTTCTGTAGTAATTAAGTCCTCGGCTGGAAACCCACAGATGTAAAGAAGAATGTATGTATGTATGTACATTAGTATGGATGAAGGCCTGTGTATGTATACATGTATAATGTGTGTGTATGTATGTATGTATGTAGGCAGGCAGGCATGCAGGTATGTAGGTTTGCGTTATGCATGTCTGTATGCTTGTGTGTATGTATGCAGGCATCCACCAGGTGTATGTGTGTATGTATGTCTCTCTGTCTATGCAAATACATGTGTACATGTGTATGTATGTATACAGACATATATATATATATACATATATATATATATATATAACCGCTTCCCCCTAATATTAAACCGCTCCCCCCCTCCCTAATATAAAAACTGGATTTCGGAGGTTTAGTTTTTATATTAGGGGGGGTTTCGGTTCGGTGCATCCACGTACCCGGACTCCCAGCTGCTAGCTATCCTAAGCCTGGAGCCCTACTAAAGCCCTAAGCCCTAAGCCTCCAGCCCTAGACCCTAAAGCCCTGAGCCCTAAACTTTAAGACCTAAAGCCCCAAGCCCTAACGCTTTAGCCCTGAGCCCTAAACCCTTAAACCTAAAGCTCTGGTGTCTTTAGTACAGGTGTAATCTTTGGCTCTATAAAATCCTGAGCCCTAAAGCTTTAGCCCCTTAAACCCTAAAGCTCTGGTGTCTTTAGTACTACTGTAGTCTTCCTTCAATTAAAACACATACAGATCTGCCACCACCCCTAATGTTGCCCCCTTTAAATTGAATGCGGGGCCCGAACCCGCGAAATTCCCGGGGCCGCCAGTTTTTATATTAGGGGTGGGTTGAATGTTCAGGGGAAGCGATTACACGCAGAGGCTGGATAAAAATGTCGATATATCTGTACCTATGTACATATACACACACATATACATATATACACGCTTCGAGTTCTTCATTTGCAAAGGCAGATCCCCAAAGCCACGAGGATCACCAAGCCCTTCCATGCCACGTGAGCGCTTGCTGAAGTTTACAGCATTGTTACAGAGGCTGTCGAACATCACCACATCAAGAAGGATGCTGACGATGGTCTTGTCGGCTGCTTGCCTCAGTGGTGGGCGTCTGTGACGGGCTAGTGCCGAAATTCAAGGGACATAAGCTCATTCTTTGCCAGAGGTTGTCTCAGGATATCACAGGTCTGTACCTGCTGAATTTGGTTTCACTGCCAAGCAGTTTCTCCCCGCGAACAAGTGTCCAATCCCAAAGCAGCTGCTGCAGTCTGGACTCGATTCGGTGCTGTTGCTGGAGAATGCACAAAATCTCTGGGCATCGCCTGACCAAACGATCGAAACCGCAACGCATGATCCAGATCATATGGCGGCGTTTGAAAGGGGCAATCTCAACTTGACAAAGGCAAGGCGAAGCCAGCAGAATGCTGCTGTGGAGCAGGCACCGCGACGGCTTGGTTTGGTGTGCAGGTTTGGAAAATTTCGCGGAGATTCCAGCACGTTCGTACTCGCCACAGAAGGCCGGCCATCCGGTTGAACGACCTGAAGCTAGTGCCTATAATCATCCAGCTTTGCCTCCACGTTGCTTACTTTTAGGGACAGCCACCATTTGGCAATGTTCTGAAGAGTGTTTAAAGGTTTAAAGTGTTTAAAGTACGTTGAAGTTGAGGCGGTGAACCTGGAGAGGTCGACCACCTGGAGCGCCAAAGCCTGAACGCCATCTCCCCCTTAGCACAGGTGTTGGGAAGCTTCTGGAGCTGATGTTGGGCAGCCCATCCAAGATGAAGATGTCGGCATCTTTCGTTCCTGGAGACAAGCCGGTCCGAATACGCGGAAGCTCTTCTGCATTCAGACTAGATTGTTTCGCATTGGCCGGAATCCTGGCCGGAAGGGCCCGAATCCCAGCAGCCCGCGACTGGGTAGAGTGGATCAGTAGAACCCCTGCACAACTCTGTTACACATCCATGTGCGCCTTTCCACATCCTGCTCTCTAAGGCAGGCTCACTGGTCTGGCTCTCAGCTTGAAGTTAGGGTTCAAAACCATCGAATCTATGCAGCCCTCGAACATGCTAGCCCGGCCTAGAGTTTGTC